CTTGGATCCATCGCGAATCGTGCTGATACAGTTTGTCTATGGCGTCCTTGTACCAGGTAACGAGGGTTGAGCTGGAATGGTTGCTGTAAGAGATACAACTGGATCTCTTGACTTAAAAGATTTACTAATTAAAATGAAGAAAGAGTTACCACAATATGCTATTCCAATTTTTATACGATTAACTGCTGATATCGAGGTAACTTCAACATTTAAAATGCCAAAATTTACACTTAAAAAAGAGAGTTATGACATAAATTTGGTGAACGATCCAATTTATGTGTTGGATTGGAAAAACGAAGAGTACAAAAAACTAGACAAAGAAACTTATAATAAGATAATCAATGGTGAATATAAATTTTAATTTCTTACATTTTAAATCGTATTTCAAAGCATTGTTCACAGTTCATCTACTTTAACGTCTTATTTGCTAAAAACTTAATTTGTAATACATTTTCTTCAGTTAAAATGTAATCAAAATGCGGGTATAAATTTAAATTTAAGTTTGTAACGAAAAAATTTGGAATCAATTCTTCAGTTTTTTTTGCTAAAAGAATTTTTTCCGCTGATTTATTGAACACTTTAATTATTAAACAATCATTATTCTTATTTTGTCTTCAAGTTAATATAATTAGTCTTTAATTCAATATTCATCTTTTGCATGGTTATATAAATTATCTTTGGCGGTATTTAATTAATACTATGAATAGAAACGTCTTTTAGATCTTAAGAGTTCAAAGAAAAATCCATCATTAATCGAAAACAGCTATTAACAGCTAAAATCAGTTAAGAAATAACAAATCTCTAGATTAAGTTGTTGCAACTAGAAGAAATGAAATATCAAAGGCTAAAGAGTTTTAGCTTAAGATAAATGCAACAAGTTGATTCAATTTTGTAATATCTGTTAGATAGAAGCTGAAATGAGTTAATAATTAAAGATAAACTCAGTCGCCTGATATGAGCCATGTTTAACGTAATTATTAATTCCGGTGAATTAACGGAAAGTCGCATATGAATTTATAGCTAAACTGATGCATATCGAATAGAATATTAATCACTCAAGACAAATAAAGAAATTACAGCATAAAATAACCTAAAATGATCTTTATTGAAGTAAAAATTCCGATACGGGAACATCAATAAGCTCTAGATGGTAAGAACTTTTAAGAGTCAATTTTTATCGTATCATTTTTGCTGTAACTCGATATCAAGAATTAGATTAATTTTATTAATTCGACAAAAATTTAATCAGAGATGTGAGGTCATTTCTTTTTGGCAGCCTTTTCAGCGGCTTTAGTGACTTTTCCAGCAGACAAATCTTTAGGTTTAACAGATTTAATCACACCAACAGCAACAGTTTGTCGCATATCACGGACAGCGAAACGTCCAAGAGGAGGGAAGTCGGTGAAAGTTTCAACACACATTGGCTTACTTGGAACCAAATCAACAATAGCAGCGTCACCGGATTTAATTGATTTTGGATTATCTTCTAATTTTTTACCGCTACGACGATCAATTTTTTCCTTGATATCCTTGAATTTGCAAGCAATGTGAGCAGTGTGACAGTCCAAAACTGGTGTGTAACCATTTGAAATTTGACCAGGATGGTTCAATACAATAACCTGGGCAGCAAACTCTTCAGTAGCTTGAGGTGGGTTATTTTTGCTGTCACCAGCTACATAACCTCGTCTCAATTCTTTAACAGATACGTTTTTAACGTTGAAACCAACATTGTCACCGGGTACAGCTTCAGTCAATGATTCGTGGTGCATTTCAACTGATTTTACTTCAGTTGTCAAGTTAACTGGTGCAAATGTAACAATCATACCTGGCTTAATTGTACCAGTTTCAACTCTACCAACGGGTACAGTACCGATACCACCGATTTTGTAGACATCTTGGAGTGGAAGTCGAAGTGCCTTATCAACTGGTCGAGATGGAGGATCCATAGCATCTAAGGCTTGTAACAATGTTTTACCTTCCAATTTAGCTCCCTTCTTTTCAATTGACCATCCCTTATACCAAGGCATGTTGGGTGATGGTTCAATCATGTTGTCACCATGCCATCCAGAAATTGGTACAAATGGTACAGTTGCTGGATTGTAACCAATCTTTTTAATGTAACTGCTAACTTCCTTGGTGATTTCTTCATAACGAGCTTGAGAATATTTTGGCTCAGCTGAATCCATTTTGTTAACACCTACAATCATTTGTTTTACACCCAAGGTGTATGCCAACAAAGCATGTTCTCGAGTTTGACCGTTCTTAGAGATACCAGCTTCGAATTCACCAACACCAGCAGCACAAATCAAAACAGCACAATCAGCTTGAGAAGTACCAGTAATCATGTTTTTGATGAAATCTCTGTGACCAGGAGCATCAATAACGGTAACATAGTATTTGGGTGTTTCGAATTTCCATAAAGTAATATCAATAGTGATACCCCTTTCTCTTTCAGCCTTTAATTTATCTAATACCCAGGCATACTTGAAGGAACCTTTTCCCATCTAATAAGTAAAAAAATAATTAAAATAATTTAAATAAATTAGAATAAGATTAATACAAATTATGTCATTGTAGATAACAAAGGAAATGGAAGACAAAGGAATACCAAGAAATGGGCACGTCACTTCTATGGATTTCCTAGACAAAGGCCAGATCTGGCGTCTGACACATAAAAAAATACCACAACTATTCACTTTTGTGAAAAGTAATAAAATCTAGTTAAATGGTAATCAAAGGTTTCAAACTTACTTCTGCGGCTTCCTTCTCGAATTTTTCAATGGTACGCTTATCGATACCACCACATTTGTAGATTAAATGTCCGGTCGTGGTTGATTTACCAGAATCGACGTGACCGATGACGACAATGTTAATATGAGTCTTTTCCTTACCCATGATTGACAGTTAAATTAACTTGAGTGTAAAAATTAAATGAGCAAAAATCAAAAGATCCACAAGACAAAAAGAAATGCAGAACAGTGACAAAGTGTGCTTAAAATTTAAAGAGATTTTTGCTTTAGCTTTATCGGAAAAGGAAATAAGATAACACCTTCCAGATAAGTACAGTTTAATACCAATAGATGTCACTGTTACATAAACTTTTGAATTTTTTGCTTCACAATCTTTTTTAAATTAACCTTTCTCTAATTTCAATTAAAATGGAATGATAATTTTGTAATTAAGTGCTGAATTTTACCAAATGATTGACTAGAAGTGGCAGTAATCGAATGTCAAAGAAGAAACAACCAAAGAGATCTGATCCAGCAACACTGATCCACTGTTATTCATTGACTCAACAATTTATCGTCGGCATAATGAATATAATTTTGCAATTTTATTTATTTATTTTATTTTATCATCAATTTTTTAATACAGATTTTAGATAAGCTTGAAAATTATGACTGATAATGAATGAAAATGTCTGTAAATTGATTCAACAATAATTTGAATCGCAACAAACATATATTCATTACTTTACGTGAAAAACTGATCGATTCATCGTCATTGAAAAACTCATATCTTTGCATTCCTTTGGACAACGATTTTATAGTTTCAACGATCCTCAAGTTTACTCGCACTGAACGTCCTAAGGATACTTCACACTTACGAACCATCTCAATGTCACCAATATAAGCCTCCATCATGGCTTCAAGTTCATCTCTTGTGAAATTAGAGCTTGAATTGATAGTCAAGTAATCATTATTATAAAATTTCATGACATTGCTAACATCGGTTATAAGTTGCACAATATGTGAGTAAGATTCAAACAAATCACCGTACTGATCGTCATTTGCATTCATCGTTTCCGTAAGTAATTCTGACGATTTTATAATGGAATCGTAAAAGGTTCTTGTGACATTGTTTGAATCATTTAAAAGGTTCACAATATATGAGTAAGGTTCGAACAGATCACCAATTTGAGTGTCATTCGAATCCATTGAATCCAAAATTAATTGTAATGCTTGAACACTAGCATTTAAGAAGGTTTTGTAGTCTTCAGCGATCCATTCTTTTGCACATAAAGTCTTTACTTGATCAATTCGTCGAGTTACCATAGAAGTTAGTACAATTTTCGGTATTTCTTCATGAGGATACAAACTTTTTAGAAATTCAAACTCTCGTATTGATGCAGATAATGATACATTGATCACGGCAACTAATTTAAAACGAAAAAAGTCATAGAAAGAAATGGAAAAGTCAAGAACGAAATGAACAACTTACATAAAAAGATGAGTCCGATCGTATTTTTCATTGTAATTGCTGGCAAATCAGTTAGTCAATGTTAATAAAAGTAAAACTGTTTTAGTAATAACAACTTTGAGTAACTTAAATGAATTGAATATAACTCAACTCGTCTTGGTACGCTTACTAGTTCAATCATAGCATTGATGTACAGTCTATCGCTAAATTTATCTGTGATTATTTGTTCAGTTTCAATCAGAACAATAAAGAAATTGTCATTGAATTGTGTTAAAAGATATAATTAAGTGATTAACGACAATGCTGCAAACACTTAAAATAGTGTTATCAAAGTAAAGTCGATTACACAGGCCATTATCTCATGAGTGAATGCAACCAATGAATCCATGAATCACCATTAACAATATCGCGAGTTATAATCATTTTTAATTATTATTATTATACATCTGTTAATCTGAGTTCTGGATGGTGGATAATCTCATTATTTTATTAAATTTTTTCCCATAAGACCCATTAGATTAATTTAATACAATTCAATTCGATAACTCGAACTCTTGTCCACTTTCACAACTAATCAGAAAGAGTAAAATGATTTGAACAATTTACCACCAAACCTTATCAAGTCAATTGACAATCTCGTGAAATAAGAAGCCTCTAGTGCAAGTAAAATGTGTAAAAGCCAACAAGGACTTAAAGGAGGAACAAAATTTTTAATATTTCTGAATCTGATTGAATATTGAATATCAATTTGTAATTTGGTAAAGAAAAATAAAGACGCAATAGGGAATGTAATTAAATTTTATTCAACAAAAACTCTAATTATAACCAAACCTTAATGTTGAGTGTTTTCAAATACAATTTCCCAATCAACCATCGCTTTGTAAATTTACGTGTAAATTAGGATCCATGCATCAATTCAACGTCTTGTACTGAATTGTTTAGCAAATGCAGGAAGAAAGCTGAAAGGTTAGATTTTGAAAAGGTTTCAGGACTGCTGATGGTTAACTCATCTAAATAAGTATTTAAGACACAATCTATCAATGCAAATCATTATATTCACCATTGAACTCTTACATTGTTAGTTATTCAATAGACAACCTCAATTTTCTCGTTGATTAGATGCTAATATCTCCAAACTTATTGAAATCAATCAAACCTTTACACATCCATCATTACAAAGTTCAATCACTTTAACCAATTTTCATGAATGTCTGTCTCTACTATCAACTCTGATTAATCCGTTTAAGCCAGAAAACTATTATACATTGTGCTCATTGTAATAAACTTTTAGGTTTACTTGTTTTGCGTATATTCACATCTGACGATTACAGACTGGTTACAGATGAATCACTGATTTATCATTTTGTTTATGTATTTTACATTGAAAACTAATGTTAGTTGAAAGATGAAATACTTTAATGGTTAAACCTAGCAACAAGTTGGATGAGTTGAGGTTGTTTTGGTGAAAACAAGATGCAATGCAAATGAGGAAAAGTCTAACAATTAGCAAATGAGCAAAGATGGTAATCTAAACGATATTTACATGAAGCAATAATAGACTATTAGATGACAATTACATTGACTATTGAACAATATCCATGTATCTAAGAATACAAATTATGTAATTCCTTGGAGCAACAATTGTAACTGCGATAAACAAAAGGCTTTGTTGAGTCAACAGGGTAAAAAAAGGATCCATTGAATCAGAGATTCACATTGTAAGTTGCTTTGCTTGGATAATTATTTACCTGAAATAGCCTTGAAATCATCTTCAAGATTCACGTCAATCACTTAAATAACCTGTTTGTTTTTGTACAATTTATTGATATTAAAGAGTCTATTGAAGGGTCTGAGCGAAAAATTCCCGATTTTACCTTTTATTTCATTTTTACTTTCCAATGAAATAAAATACTTCATTGTCACCTTAAAAGCCCATTGCTTTGCACTTCTTTTTAGTTGATTCATATTTTCAATTTCCTCTTGACTTTTGTTACTTTAAACTGTAATTGACTCTTTTTTAATCATCTTGACCACTTTATACTTGACTTACTAAAGTGACATCAAGGTGACTTGACCTAGACTTTTCTTTTTTCATCTCAACTTTATTATTTTTATCTGTTTTTTTATCGTCAAGTTTCAAACATGATTTGTATTCGTTATCGGTTGGTTTTTTATTTGGTTACATTTTGCTTGATTGGTCAACATTCAGCTGCTCCAGGTTTGTTAAGTTTTTTTTGATTTAATGCATTTTGATTGATGACTGGTTAATGGTTTGTTTTGTTTGCTTAGTTATTGAAGATTCAACAGCTGATTATGGAACAGCACCAGTTTCGCCCTTAAATCCTGTCGATGAAAGTACCTCGAGCCCATCTGATTTGATTATGATTGATTCAACAAGTCAAACAAAGGTTAAGTCATCTAATCGTTTCGCTGAGACAATCAACAACATGAGAGATCGTGTTGAGAAGAGTCGTCAAGTGTTAACTGGAATTGTTGACTCATTTGTATCAAATCCTGGTGATGGAAGTAAGTTAGAAGAGGCTTTGGCCCAATACGATGAGGTTGTTGAAGATATTGAAGCTGATTTCACCAAAGCTAAACTGGAATTTGGCTTAAGAATGGAACAAAATGTGGACAAAGCGAATGAAACATTAGATCAAATGGAGAAACAGTTACATGATCTTAATACACAATTTATCAACTGGAGCACCATAAATAGAGCTCGGATGACCAAACAATTGAGACAAGGATTGTTACAATTTAATGATTTTCTTAGCTCAGGAGTGGAGATGTTGTTGGAAGCTTCAGAAAAAGGTAAAGATGTAATAAGGAACTTGCAACGACGCCGTTTTGATTCCAAACAATCGCCTTTTCAATCAACTGAAGATTCTCCAAAAAGATCTGGTTTATTCATCCCATTCCTGGGTCAGTTGTGATTCAAAAATTAATCACCTTTTGATACATCCCAACGAATAATTAACCAACACTAACTTTATTATATTTATTCTAACACTTATAATTAAGATTGTGACCTCAAAATATATTAAACAGTATTCAGCAACGAAACTTGGGTTATATCCTTAAAATCTAAGGGCAAAACCTGATGGACTAACTAAAAGTCCCGACTTAAAGGAGTGTTGATTGATCTTGACTATAAGATTAATTGAATCACTTCAGTTGAAACATCACGTCCGCCCTAAAAATGAGCATTTCAAGTATAATTTGGATATTTTGGGCCATCGAACCCATAAAACATAATTTAAAAGATTTACTAGTCAAGTTTGAAATGAATAATAAGTGACACACCTTTTTGGCCTAAAATAGTTTAATCAGAGAGTAAAAATTTTAAATTTAGTTAGGCTTAGTGAGACTCCGATTAAAAAAACTGTTAAGCTCTTTTTTTATCGTAACATTAGCTTTAAAATGAGAAGACAAGTTTGATTAATTTTATTAATTCGACAAAAATTTAATCAATGATGTGAGGTCATTTCTTTTTGGCAGCCTTTTCAGCGGCTTTAGTGACTTTTCCAGCAGACAAATCTTTAGGTTTAACAGATTTAATGACACCAACAGCAACAGTTTGTCGCATATCACGGACAGCGAAACGTCCAAGAGGAGGGAAGTCGGTGAAAGTTTCAACACACATTGGCTTACTTGGAACCAAATCAACAATAGCAGCATCACCGGATTTAATTGATTTTGGATTATCTTCTAATTTTTTACCGCTACGACGATCAATTTTTTCCTTGATATCCTTGAATTTGCAAGCAATGTGAGCGGTGTGACAGTCCAAAACTGGTGTGTAACCATTTGAAATTTGACCAGGATGGTTCAATACAATAACCTGGGCAGCAAACTCTTCAGTAGCTTGAGGTGGATTATTTTTGCTGTCACCAGCTACATAACCACGTCTCAATTCTTTAACAGATACGTTTTTAACGTTGAAACCAACATTGTCACCGGGTACAGCTTCAGTCAATGATTCGTGGTGCATTTCAACTGATTTTACTTCAGTTGTCAAGTTAACTGGTGCAAATGTAACAATCATACCTGGCTTAATGGTACCAGTTTCAACTCTACCAACGGGTACAGTACCAATACCACCGATTTTGTAGACATCTTGGAGTGGAAGTCGAAGTGCCTTATCAACTGGTCGAGATGGAGGATCCATAGCATCTAAGGCTTGTAACAATGTTTTACCTTCCAATTTAGCTCCCTTCTTTTCAATTGACCATCCCTTATACCAAGGCATGTTAGGTGATGGTTCAATCATGTTGTCACCATGCCATCCAGAAATTGGTACAAATGGTACAGTTGCTGGATTATAACCAATCTTCTTAATGTAACTGCTAACTTCCTTGGTAATTTCTTCATAACGAGCTTGAGAATATTTTGGCTCAGCTGAATCCATTTTGTTAACACCTACAATCATTTGTTTTACACCCAAGGTGTATGCCAACAAAGCATGTTCTCGAGTTTGACCGTTCTTAGAGATACCAGCTTCGAATTCACCAACACCAGCAGCACAAATCAATACAGCACAATCAGCTTGAGAAGTACCAGTAATCATGTTTTTGATGAAATCTCTGTGACCAGGAGCATCAATAACGGTAACATAGTATTTGGGTGTTTCGAATTTCCATAAAGTAATATCAATAGTGATACCTCTTTCTCTTTCAGCCTTTAATTTATCTAATACCCAGGCATACTTGAAGGAACCTTTTCCCATCTAAAAAGTAAAAAAATCAAAATAATTTAAATACATAAGAATAAAATTAATACAGATTATGTCATTGTAGATAACAAAGGAAACGGATAGTAACAGGGCAAGGCAAATTGGAACAATGAGATATCCATATTGCATGGTCAAAATGGGTTAACTAAATACAATATCAGACTTTAGTAAATTAATTACTAAAATTCTAACTTGAATAAAGCATAATATCAAGTATCAAAAGAATGACATACCTCAGCGGCTTCCTTCTCGAATTTTTCAATGGTACGCTTATCGATACCACCACATTTGTAGATTAAATGTCCGGTCGTGGTTGATTTACCAGAATCGACGTGACCGATAACGACAATGTTGATATGAGTCTTTTCCTTACCCATGATTGAAAATTAGAGTTAAACGAATACGAGAAATTGATTAATTAAAAATATAAAACTTAATCAGTGAACTTAAGATGAAGAATGGCACACGCAGCACAAATTTTCTGCAATTTAAAGGAAAAGGAAGTGAGATATGATTTCATGGATCAGTAATTTAATTCAACCTGCAGCAGATGAAAACAGTTTAAACTTGATTCAATTTAAAGGTTTTTTAAATTTTGCACTTTAAACGTAACAAAAACTGATTGATTCATGTGCTTCAAAACTTTTGATTGGACTCGTGAAATTTTTTTTTCTTCAAAATTTAATTCAAAAGATTTTTGATTAGTTAGTATTTAATCTCTACAAAACTATCTTTATTTTTGTTTGTTAAGGTGATTTATTGGCCATAAGCTACTTAACCAAATGTGTATTAAAGTAATCTAGTAAATAATCTTTACTCGTTCCAATGCGATTGACTTTACACTTGACTTTATGTCTAACACTTTTAAGATATGACCAATATGAGCTTTTCGATAACAATAGCGGTCAGGGTTAAGTCAACAAAAAGGGTCAGACTTAAGTTATTAGGTATCACCATGTCGAGCATATTTAGTTTGTAGAGATAACAAAATCATGCGATTGAAAACTGAACAAAATAAAGCTCAATCTTATTGGTACTTTTATTTACTATTAGTGAACGACTATGAAAAATCTCCGATTTTGTAGACTTAATGTAAGCCTAATGATTAGCTTTAGCGTTAAGACTGATAATCTTCATATGCTGTAATCTGCATCTTGAGGTTAGCGAAAGAATCTCGCCAAGTCCCGAAGTTAGGGCGACATGCAATTATGCTTACAAGGGTTAAGCCGTGAGCTATCTCATCCTCCCTGACCACTACTGCATTGAAATTTGAATTGCAAAAGCTGATAGTTAATATAACGGAAAAGACAGTTTTCTATTAAAATTTTGAGATCTTTTTATTGGAATGGTTTGACTAAAAAAATGAAAAATGAAAAATCGACTTTGATCAGAAATTGTGTTTTATTCATGTCTTTGATTCTTTAGTTGTAATAATTTTCAATTTAAACAAACGGGCTCTAAGGAAAAAGGAATACAGTCAAAGATAGTTTCTCATTCATCAGCAAAGCAGTTAAATTTTTTTTTGAAAAATCAAACATTTTAGATTACACTTTTGCTACAATCAAATTTGAATCGATGAATACAATAGTTTTTAATTGAGATACATTGAATTGAGAGACATTTTTATGGATGCAATCATTTACAAAGTTTAGCAAAAAAGAAGTTTCAAATATTGAAACGACCAAGCAAAGTTAACAAAGAGACGAATTATGTAAATTAATTTTGATTTTTTTGTTACTTAAACTGTTCTTAGATACGATATTTACTTGCATGGACAATTTGAAACTTTTTATCGCCAGTTTAAACATAACAGTATAAACTGAGGGAAAATTTAAACCAAAAGTTGAAAGGATGAAAGTTAAAGGGGAATAGGAAAGGTTACAGTAAATTGCTTTTTACCCATCACACAACCAAGAGGTTTGGAGAAGCTTGGCTTTTATCACAGAGTTTATCGCAAAATAAAAGAAGTCTTTTCGTTTAAATTATAAAAGTAGAAGGAAATGAAAGAAAAGAAGAAAGAAAGGGAAAGGGAAATAGTAAGACAAAGTGAAAAACAGTTAGAAGAAAGTTTCGATCAAAAACAAATAGAGTGAAGAAAATATATGTTTAGAAAAAAAGGCACTTTGGTGCTATTGAATATCGATGTTACTATTGGAGGCCATCATCACTGATAGAATAATATCATCCATATTAGGAATAACTAAAAGCTTATTAAATTCTTGTTGCAACTTTTTCTCAATCCATTCTATTGCATGACTCATTGAAACTCTGTGTTCACCGAGACGAGGCCGAGCTGAAAGGACTAGATTGGGATCTCCTCGAAAACCATACCAAAGACGATCAGATGGAGGAGGTGGGATATTGATTGAAAGGACTCCTGATAGTTCTTGGACGAATACGGTCAATACAAGAGGAGTGTTTGAAACACCTTCCATAGCTCTTTTAATATATTTATAGTCGGTTGCTTGTTGAAAGTATTTAGATGCCGCAAGTTTGTCTACAAATTTCAAAATCTTTGCTCCATTGTTACCTAAATATAGACATGAATGAAAAAAGGAGAGAAAATGATTAGTAAATTTAGAGGAAGTGTTGAAGAAATTCAATTCTCTTTCAATTACGTTTCGTAAAACTATTTGTGAAAAGGGTATGAATTGCAAGATCTTTCCGTAAGACATGACTTAAAGATAAATCCATTATAAAAATTAATCTGAACATAAGTATTCAATGGGAAAAGGGAAAACGACTAACAATGTAAAAACAATAATGAAAGCAAAGTTGCAATTTACCTTCACTGTCAGCCATTTTTTCCTTGAATTCATCTTTCTCATCATCTTCTGAGCTAGAAACAATAGATTCAGGTTCAGAAAAGTCTTCCATATCCACACTGGTTGAACTTGGTGCAAAAGGTTTCATCTCTTTTTCCACTGTGCCTTGGTCTTTTAATCTCATTAGATTTAATTTAGTCTCTAAGGTCATAGCAAAACCACCACAGTAATCAATTTGAAAATCAACCCAAAGACCAGCTTCATCAATAACTGGAGGCTTAGGTACAGATAAAAAACGAGGTAAATTTTGTCCGAGATCAATATTTTTAAGAGTGAGCGTTTGCATGAAGTAGGGTAACTTAATTCTTGATAGTTTTCGTTGAATTTTTTTCGATGCCCAATTAGACCAATGTGAATTGTTAAGAAATTCAAATAAAACTCGACCTAACATCGAATTAAACCAAAGCAAATGACTGTCATCAACAGGTAAACAACCAGGTAAATACAGCGAAACTCGGTGGTGCAATATTTGATGCATGTAAGCTTCATATTTAGGTAGAACAGATGAAGGAGTGACATCTTTTGGTTTAAAGGTATCTCTGGTTGGTGTCGATGGAGAATGATCTGTAAGATTAAAAGCAAAAAATACGATAAGCAAAGATAATTAGTTATTCCGAGTGTAATAACATTAATAAACCCATCATGGTTTTGTGTAACTAACAATAATGTTTATAATAAAGAGCAGATCTGATAGCTTAAGAGGTATAACAACTATCAAAAGCTTAAGTGTAACGATTTCCAATTAAATGGAAAAAGATAAATAAAGATAATTACCAGTCGAATTTGAATCTGGTAACATTTGTTCTCCATCCGATTTCAACTCTTCAGCAGAATCAAGGAAAAAGTCTTTTGAAGCATCTTTAAACCTCCAATACCATTCTTCCTTTGATCGATGTGTTCGAGCAAATAAAATTAATTTGGTTGTTCGATTTGAGCCATTAGAGCTACTTGGATCGAGATAGTTGTTTTTGTTTCCATCAATTTCCAGAATAATCGGGTATTTTTTAACCCATAAATATTTCTTTTTGTTGCGAATACTATTAGGAAGCCATAGATAAAGTCTTTTCAGATTGATTAGATCATAGTGCCTTTGGTAGGCGAAATTGGTATAACTATTTTCAGTTAATTTGCGTGTTTTTAGGTTTTTAGACTGAGGTTCAGAAACTCGAAGAAAAGTTCCTTGAAGACGAATGAAAACAAGTTGAGTCTTGGCATGTTTTTTAATTTTTTCATTGGATCCAAGTTCTTGGCTTGATACTAGTTCATGGAACCATTCTTTGTGTATAATAATTTGACTATCACTCTCTTCTTTGGTTTGGTGAGTTTCATCTTGAGCCGAAGACGAACAAGTTTGTGATGATTCTGTGGAGGCCTTGATTACGGCCTCAACCTCTTCATCCTCAGTGGGCTTAAGAATGAGATTAATTAAGTGAAAAGCGAGAAGACCAAGAGAAAGGAGTGAAAAGATAACACCAAGTATAAAGCCATTTATATATGAAGGAAATGGGAGCCTTATTGTTATGATAATTGAAAATAAGGCTACTAAAGATGAACATAAGATTAGGAAGCCAGATTGACCTTTAAATATCCACCAATCGTGGTTTGTTAATCTTTGAAATGGTGGACAAGATTCGGACGGAGATGTTGGTTCACAGTTGCTTTCTTCATTCTTTATTGTAGATATAAGCTCTGATTTGATCGAAGATGATGGCTTTCTGAACAACCAATCTTCATCCTCTTCTTCCTTGTTAATATTACTATTCCTACTAGGATTATTATCACCATGGCTGATTTCATCTAGATTATCATCTCCATCTTTATCTTTGGATTTGGCTTTGATAGAAACAATTGAACTTGGAAGAACCAAATTCTCATTGATTGGTTCAGTCAATGAGAAACTACGAAAACATTTTTCTCCGACATCTCCGACATCTCCAATATCTCCAGGCTCACTTTTAACGTCTGATGATTTTTCTGTACCAACACTGTTACCACCATTGCCCCCTGAAGATGATGGTATACTGTGGGATGAACTGTCTTTTTCTTTTTTGTTATTCTCTTTTTCTCTGGCTGACTTTTCTTTCCTTTCCTCGATTATTTGCTGAAATTTTTTCCACGACTCGTTAAACCATTTTGAACTAGAACCAGGCGATGATGATGAGGGTAAACTTGAATCATCTGATGATCCATGTTGATCAAAACTTCGACCGCGGTTGAGCTTAGATGTGAAAAAATCCTTAACTGTCATTATAAAAAGTCAGATGAAAGGGTAGAAAAAATGATGATAAAATATATTAGTCACGCAATTAAAGCATTATTGTTTTCAAGTAAAGGACTAAATATTAAAACCAAAGTCATAGCCATGTGCCACAATTCAAACTATCCTGTCAAATCAAGAAAAGTAGCAGCTAAATGAAGATAATAGATAGAAAGCATTAAATGACTAATCAAAATGATAAAGCTGTATTAAGTCTATATCCCAGAAAAAAGCAATTCAAATCACTTAGAAACCTAACAATTCATTAAATGTGGTAAAATTGATAAGTATGCGACTACAAGAGTTTAGATTGCCATGTTAAATGAAATATATGAAAAGGTAATCATGCTGTAAGCAACATTCTAGGCTTGAATAAATGATATTGTAAAACAACTCTAAACCTAGCCAACAGGAAAATATAATGATGAAAAAGTTGCTTGAAATTTCCAAGAAATACATTATACTCGTACTCAAAGCTCGGTGAAATATCGATAACACAGATTAGCCCACCTAACCATTAACTTGCTGCTAATCAGTAAAATTTAATTGATGATACCTGGATGAATATGAATAAAATTAAAAAAGAACATTAAAGATACTTGAGAAATTGAAGATCTATGAGCAATCATATTACAAAAGGTTTAAGGATATTCATGTTAAACAGTCGAATTAAAGATGGTGGAAAAGCTAGCATACCATTCTTTGTAAACACAATAAGTCTTGGGAATAAGAAGTAAAATTGTGGTTAGAAATTTTAGTGGCTATTAGGTTTGCTATATTAGTATTGAATATACATGCTGGAATATTTACATACCTGAATTATCAGAAATGGAAGATTTCACCTTAGATGTTGTTGGTGACGAGGAGAGGATATCACTTAATTTACTTGATTCACTTTTCATTGGCGTACTTGCTCGAGAATTGGCTTCACTATTAACATCAGAAGAACGGTCGTCATCAAAATTATGAACCTCCTCCAAATGGTCATCACCAGATTTGCTATTGAACCGAAAGCTGATTGATCCTTTTTGTTTATTAGTGGACATGATAAAGAAGCTTGTTGAGGGTAAGCAAAACGATAAGAGAACAGCAAAATATAACCAAACAAAAACCCAAACTTGACGTTGATACTTTCTTCTTTTCTGTTCTCCTATGAATCAGTTGTTAGCTATTGTTTGTTGTTATTGTTGTCAAGTCACAATGGTCTTCATCATCAAATCAGTGGTGAGTTTAATAAAATGTTATCCATCTCAATACGACAAACCTTAATTACCAACATCAGTAGAGATCAAGGCGATTATCACTTTAACCACTTGATATTCATCTTATTGACATGATAGAATATAATTACAGTCACTAATTACGACGCTGATAGCAGTTTATTTATTAGCAGAAAATAAAAATAGTACAAATGTAGAAAAAAAAACAAAGATTTTCTGAAGAGGAAAAATACAGAAAGAAAAAGAAGTGACTAGTAAAAAGAGGAGAAGAGAGTAAAGAAGAGAGCAGCAGAGTGTTTACAAATTTCCGCGTAACATTTGAAATCCTTAAACCAACATTTGGGTGAATTTATTAAAATAAATTTTAATTTTAACCAATTGTTTTTACCTTTCAATTATTTTAATCATTATAGATATAATACTTGGTGTTATGAGATAAATATCCAACGATTACTCTATTTTATGTTTATTTTTAATCCTGTTTTATCATCAACCTAAACCAGATGATTCCGTGCTTCTGATTCTATAGGCATTACATATTTGCTAATCCTGGTTCTAATTACCACATTCAATCTGTATTTGTTGATTGGAAACTATAAATATACTCTTGTTTATTTAGATGATTTAATAATCAGTAACAAATTATTTTACTCCACTGAGTTAATTGGTACTCCTGAAAATGTGATATCTTAACGATTATAATGGTAAAGATCTATAGTGTACATTGATCTGTTGCCATTAAATGTTGGTATTCATTCAACCCAGTGTTTGGTTTATGGACTATTGATTCATTTTAACCAGAATCTGGATCGGCAATCAAACAAACTGGTGGAACCCGAATTTTTACCAGGTGTCAGCTGTGATAATTCAAATCTAATTTATGATTGGGTCAAAGATTACCTACTCTATGGATGCATCCGTCCAAGCCTCATGGGGCTCATAATTGGACGTTGTTACAAGGTAACTTAAATATTTTTTATTTCATATTTTTTACATTCTATTAATTTTTGTTTTTCTAATTTCAGGGACAACTTTATTACAGATCACCGAGCAATCCAGAAAGCTGAGGAACACTATTTTGAAAGCAATATTTGCCAAAACACAAATGTGTCGATAAACAATGAGCTAAATGAGCGTTAACCAGATTACAAGACTAATATTGATTTAAGCCTTTTACAAACCTGATAACTTGGCATGGATATAGACATATTTATAAGCAGTTATGTGTAAGGATCAAAATGTACAAAATATGATTAAATGAATGTGAAACTCATTAATTATCTTTATTGGAACTGGTTGAAGCTGATATCAAGTATTCAGCCGTCATAATTTGCAAGTTAAATATCATGTCAAGTTGATACCTTTTGATTATCTAACGGAGCTGCAATGAGTCTAAATTGTAAATCTAAGTGTTAAATTTAACTTGTTAACATCCATATTGATCAAGAAATTAATTAAATGGATACAACATAATAAACGTCTCAGTATTTAATTTGTACATGTGATGGTGTCTGTTAACCTTTCAATGATCACTTCATTAGAGTTTGAGACTTACAAAAAAAGATTCAGTTTCACCCAAATTCTGGGTCAAATATAAAAAGCAAAAGAGAAGCGAGAAAAAAAATCAAACAGAAAATATTTTTTCCAGTTTCCATCATTTAATCCGTAATTAAACTTTAAAAAAATTAATCACAGTTAACCATCGAATGAAACCATCTTGTTTCAATTCCTCTTAATCACGGAAGTCAACAATAATAAATTTTGATTCCAAGGTAGCCAAAAAAGGCTAAATTTATTAATTCATTCCCATCATCTAATCAATCAAACCGTTAATCAAATTGACACCGGATCAAAGCCTTTAAATCACATAATTAACTAGATTTACCTAAATGGATATTAAATGTATAATGTAGTGGATTCATGTTGTTTCCAGATGTTAAACTTGGGCAAATTTATTTTCAGTTTATAAAAGTTTCAAGCTAAGCTACAAAGGATTAACTTTTGTTCAGAGACTCAATCTCGTGTCTAATTATTTTTTGTCCTCTACAATATAAACTCGAAAAAAATCGAAAATGATCGTACAAGCAAGGTCACTTCCCTTGTAAGCATATTACATCGAAGACTATTGAAAGCCATTATCAATAGCTACGAAAACTTTACCAGTTTTTGGGTAAATTTTTTCAATATACGTTTTTATATTTGTATATCTCAACTTGTCCATAGTTTGACCTGCAATACAGACCAGCAACCATATTATACACACACTCAGGTCAATGTTTTCCATGAATTTAGCTGCAAACTCGAATCTTTTGCAGTTGCTTTAGCAAAATTTCACTTCACAAAAACAAAAGAAATAACTTGGAGTGAAAAATTTATCGACAAGGTTTGGTTTGAATGTCAACGCTCTCAATGCTTGACTTCAACTTATGCATGTAATATCCTTCTCTATGAAGTCGCTCAATGCTTTCAAATTTTCGGTCCTTACCAAACCACAACTTTTGATATTTCCAACATTTATGAATCAATAATAGCCAGTATATAATACATATTTATCTTCAAAATTTTGATACAATCCTACAATAAAGCACTCTATGAATTCAGTTTTCAATAGGATTTTCGGGAATTTAATTCAAATAAATTTCTATTCTGAATGAAAATTTTCATTGGAACTGAATTTTTTCAGTATTTTTATTTGAATAAAAGGAAATACTTTGAATCTTGTTTAGGGTTAAAAAAGACATTTAGCTTTTTTAAGCAAATACAACTAGATAATTTTAAAAAATGAATTTTTCATTAAAAAAAGCTTCTATTAGCCATCAATTTTAACAAATGTAAAAATAACAAAGTAACAAATAAAAATTTGACTTTGCGGTGAAAGTTGATACGCATTTCGGGCATTTAATTTTCATGAAAAAGGGTGCAACATGATACCGAATTTCGTTAATTTCTTCCACTCTTTGAACTTGCAATCCTTACAAATAAGGTATGAAGGGAACCGGGTTTTTGCTCGATAAACTTGTTATAAAATTCTTTTTCAATCTTTTCACTTAGCAAATTCTTGCCATCAACATGGTAAATAAAATACGGATTATCATTGAAATATCTCTCGTAAATCAAAGTGTCCTCAATCTGAGCATTACCTTCTTCCTTCGAACAGCCTGCGATCTCTAACTTTTGAATATTATCATTAGATGATGTTAAAGCTACCATGGTCTTTTCAATTTCTTGCTCTGAATCATCATGTATAGAAACAGGGGAAGTAACCGATTGAACTGAACGATAAGCAATGAATGGTTCTTCCAAAATGATAAGTCTTTCAATATAACTCTCAGAAAAGTCGTGGTAGTCGATGATGATGTTTGATTAAAGATGACCAAGTGGCTATGAATACACATTGGTTTTGAACAGAGATTGAAAACTTGTAAGTTGATTCTAGTTAGAACCCAATATCCAAATTATATTATCTCATACTTTTACTTGATGATATTGGGTTAACCTTTTATCCTATTGAAATGTTGATTAAGCAGAGGGTTGACAAAACACTTATTAAAATGAAATGATAATTTAAATGTTGTCAAGTGATAAAAACTAAATACAATTATAATAATGAAAGCAACCGTTAATAATAAGGTCAGATCAGATGTTGTTTAAGGGGTTGAATAATAACAAAAAAAGGGTAAGATAAGGATGAACGGTGTAGTTGATTAATTGTCAAGCTTCACCTCAATGATTAAAGTAAGCTGACCCCAAATGCTAATCAAATAAAAAAGAGATGCAATTTAATTTGATTATTACGTCAATTAAACATAAGATGAAGATGATCATCTCAATAGTTTTTGGTTTCAATGTTAACAGACACACCAAATATAATTGAATTGATGTTACAAGAAAAAGTTAACAAACAATAGAGAAACTTTCATTACATCCTGTTAGCCTGAATTGATTTATCTCCATCCATCTTTGATTGATGTTGATGAAATGATCTCAAAAAATCAGGGTCTTTTACGTCAATCAATAAATTGTTAATGAAAAATGATGAAACAAAAAAAAACACAAACACAAGATGTGAACAAATTGAACCTCAAGGCTCACAAACGAATAACAGAGTTATTTCAATTTTTTCAGTCTGATTTGGGTTCAATCCCAGACAGTTTACACTGAATTAGATCAAAAGATAACCGATTAAGACTGAATAACAAAAATAATTACCATTATTAACCCTAACCATAAGCCATTGCAAAGAGATGACAATAGAAAGTAAATTTTTGGTAAATTGTCACAAATATAAATCTGAATACAAAAACAGATTCACAAGTCTTTTTGAAAATAATGAAGTAGAGACAATTATTGGCTATTTTTCCGAAAATCGGCAAATTTGACCTTCCAATTGTTTGACCTAACAATTTATACAACATTAATTCAGCATTTAAATAGTTGAATACGGTCTTTCTTGGCGCGAATCGCAAATGAGTGCAACCCAAGTGAGTACACTTGTACCGAAAACAAAATTATTCAGTTTTCTTTTCTTCATTTTAACTTTATTCCAAGTGAATCTAAATTTTAAACTAAAAAACTGACCTTTTCAAACATATTTTCTCCTTAATCTTGATTTGTGAACTTACTCAATGGACTATTACACCGGAATGAACCAAAGATATCGTATTCTTATTACAAGCATAGATTCGTAAGTAATGATTTGCTCTAACATTTACTCTCCAAGTGTGCTTGCATATTTTCAAATTTTGATTTGCCTGGCAATAGTTTTTGATAGTTTCTAATAAATATCATTTGTTAATATTATAGTTGCAGTCATATAAATTGTGCTCTCAACTTTGGTCAGCTTCTTGCTGAGAATGGTCATGAAATAACATTTACTCAACGACACCATAACCAACATTATGCCGATAAATACAATTTCAATTTCATCCCATTTGATGAATTTTTATTCATTCCCGAACCAACCATTAAACCATTTGTATTATGGGTATTGAAAAATATTACCAGATTTCGCAGTGATGCCTTTTCCCGATATTTAGGGTGGAATGATGAAGATCGAGAAATATTTTCCTCAGCAATTGATGAAGCTCGCATAACTGACAAAGCACTAGGACAGATTCTGGATCAATACAAAGGCCAGTTTGATATTGTGATTGGTGACTTTATCTATCGCTATCCATCTCTACACACATCATCAATACCCTTTATTCAATTATTTTCATTGAATCCTCTCTTACTTTACCCTAACGGTCCACCAGCTTATTCAGGTTACTCTGTGAATGTAGACAGAAGAGCTTCTCAAAAATTCCGTATAATTTTCAATACTGCTGCTTCTCGACTCAGAGATAAATTATATTCTTGGTGGTCATTCCATGGTTTACCTGCTTCACCTCAATGGTTTATCAATGAGCCACAATATTTTGGTTTCTATCATTATCCTGAAGCGTTGGACTATCTTGAATGTGGACCTAAATTTTCCGATAAATGGATTCGAATAGATCCATGTATCAATGTTCAACCTGAAAACTGTGAAGCATACCGATTGCCGTATTATTTATCATACCAAAACAACAAATTGATATTCGTATCTCTTGGTAAATTGGGTTCAATTGATGTTGACTTGTTCAACACATTTCTCAACATTTTGGGTGAAACTCCATATCGTTATATCGTCTCTAAAGGACCTCGAAGCGATGAGATTCATCTTAGAGACAACATGTGTGGTGATAAGTACATTGACCCTAAAAGCGTTCACAGTATAGTTGATTTGATTATTACCCATGGAGGAAATAGTTCATTTGCAGAGACAATAAATGCCGGAAAACCTTTGGTTATGATACCATTCTTCCTCGACCAATTTGATAATGCTCAAAGGGTAGTTGACTGTGGAATCGGAAAAAGACTTGATTGCTGGAATTTTGAGCCAGATATTGTAATGAAAGTCATAGATGATGCTTTGAATGATACAAAAATGAGAGACAAAGCAAGACAAATATCACAATCGATGCGTAAATCCACAACAAGACAAGAAGCAAAGAACCTGATTGAGGCTTTCATCTCTACATTAAAAATTTAAAATCATTTCACCCGATTTTACCGTTTAATATTAGACATATTCATCAATTCATCGAATGAACTAGTAATTGAAACTAGTGATGTTTATTTATCTCGGTCCATGAAATAATAGTAAATGAAAATTCAATATTGGTTGAATATTCACTCAAGAGACATCGAAATGAAATTATGCTAAAGGTTTGCTTTTTCTGGTAGTTGAAGGTCTGGCTATTATGGCCTACTTTAAGTCAGTGGAAACAGCCTCATCTCAATTTAACCAATTAAATGGGAATAAAATGTCAATCTGATAATATTGATTCTTAATTGTATCAAACTCACAAAATCATTTAACCTGTTGAAATGAATGTAAAATATTAGGAATTAAATACATGTTATATTAACATATTTCGACTGTAAAATGAAAAAATCAATGATAACATCATTTTGTATCCTATTTTGAGGGAAATAATTAAAGCAAATTTCAATATTTTATCTTGTTTTCATTCAACAAAATTCATTATTTAGTTCTGAAATGTTGATAAATTCAATAAATTATCGTAATAATTTAAAATACAAATCATTTTGCTTTAGTTTCAGTTACTATGTTATAATAGAAGCTGTTAATAGCTGCAGTGATTATTCTGATTATAGTGACAACTTTATGATGCTCATCATATCAAAATATTAAATCTAAATGATGTATAGAGTAAGAAATTTGAAACAAAATTCAGGTAAAATTGGCATTGACATTGAATTGGTGAAAAAAAGAGTGAACAGTTGAAACTGAATCAGGTAACTGGTTTTGTGTATCAACATGCAACATTTTTAAAGCCATTTTTTAACCAATTTGATCAGGTTTTGCTGTCGATATCATCATTACAAAATTGATTTAGACAAACTTGTCCGTCTCTCCACCATCAGCATCTTAATTACATGCCAACCATTTTTGTCAACCTTAATTCAAGTCAACCTGTTGACCAAATCAACAAATTACCATTAAATTGATCAAATTAATACCAATTGAGAGTTGAAAATGGTTTAGCAAAACAAAACCAAAACTGTTGAAACCATAAATACATAAACCAGAAACAAAACAAGGCAGGAAAAAACATAGATAATCAATTCTGGTGGATTCCTCAAGAATTAATTTGCTTTGATTTGAATCAAAATCACGCTCAAATATTATCATCTTTCTCATCACCATCATCATCATCTCCTCCCTTTATCCTGCCTGATCTTCCTCTTTCTTGGTTCACCTTCTTAAGGGCTAAAAGCCGGATGAAATGTCTCTCTCTTTTGCCTCTTTAAACTAACGGTTCTCTTTCTTTCTCTCCTTCCAAACTAGGAAGATAATGATGTAGGACTTACCTTTTTATCATCATTTTAAGACCAAGTTCAAGTTTAAACCACCTCTTGATTCCCCTCTCACCCTCTCTCTTAAATCAGTCAACAAACTGTTTACCTGAACCATTAACCGAAAATATCTTTCTCCTTCATCTTTGGTGATTCACTTTGTTTCATCTTTTCTTCATCGTCCTCACCATTTCTAATCTTAGTTGGTTCCAATAAAGGTTATCCTCTAGTTTGGGTGATTAACACTAGTGAAGTTAAACAATTTTGTTTTCAATTGTGATTTAATCCAACAATGAATTTTCACATAACCAAGGTAAGTTGTTTACATTTTTGCTTAGCCGCCATTGAAACCATCCATTGAATTATGCTTTTTATGCTTTACGAGTGTTTTCAGGTTATCAGATTTTTACCGTTTTCATTTTTCTGCTCAACAATTAGCCTGACAATCTATTATATATCAATGTTAACACTTAATAAATAGCTAAACAAAAAGGACACTTTTTAATATCTTGAAATTGAATAGTTTTACCCGTTTTATGCTTTATGCTTTGAACGAAAGCTGTATCTGTAAGCGAAATATCGATAGTTTGTTTATCGATAGATATTAATGATAGATATTTTTGATGCCATCTCTTGATACAGTTGAACTCTGACATGTTAATTCAGCTTGTTTAGCTTATTTTTGCCATCATTTGTGTCATTTTATTCAAGGTTTATTTTGGATAATAATTTAAATCGGAAGTAGATAGTTGAAACAATAAGGTTAACCATTAAATTTATTGAGCGTGTTAAGACAAGGTGATTCAAGCTATGCTTACAATGTGAGAGAAACCAGAAATGATATCACCGATTGATGATATTGAGATTGTTTAAAATCTTTTGATACACACAATTTACCCTGACAATCGTTTCTTTATTACAATCAACACTGTTAATCACGATGAACAAAATCCCTCTCTTTTCCTGGTGTCTTTACAGATATTTGTTTTACTCATCTTTCTGGTACCATTGATATCAGCCCAATATGAAGATGATGGCTACTACCCAACATCCAAATGGTACATGCGAGCTCCTAAATCGATAAGTGGACTTTTCCGTCGACTATTGGGTCGTCGTAAGAATACAATTAGAACGGTAAGACCTTAATTATTTAAAGTTAATGATGTGTCTAATTTTTGCTTGTCCAATGACCACCAACAATTTTCTAGTCAAACTGGTAACTTATAGTATTCCTTAAAAAATAATGACAACCAGAAAAGTGTTGAGAAGGATTATTTTTGTTCAAGTGAAAATGTGTGTCACCCAATTCATCATGATTAATATGATGATGATGAAGTTATATTTTTAGAGCCGGAAGTTTACTATTGTTGGTTTGCAATTAGATTTGACCCTTAAACAAGACCTGTAAGATGGGTTACATTTGGTTAGGGTCAAGAGGATTGATTTGTAGCAAACAATGAAAACCAAGAGTTAACCAGAAAAACATTTGTTTGTCAACTCATTTGTTCAATTGTCAACATAATCATTGTTTAATAGGAGTGTTAAGTGTTGAACAACCTTAAATTGTAACCTTACAACAATCCAAAAATATACTCAATAACAGTGTTATGGTGAAAATAGATTTACCATAATCAACTCAATCATGTGGATACAAAAAAGTATATATTTAATAGAGTAAAAATTAATCAGGAAATCTTGAAAACAAAGCAATCACACAAAACCGACACTCTCAATCTTTACCTTAGCACGATCAATAAACATCATAATCACAATCATCCTCTCAATTACCATCTTAATCGTCATTACAATCATCATTTGGGTGCAACAAATGAATACAATGAAGCCTCGTAAAACCTACTGATGTTTCATATAACCCAACATTTCTCATAATAATCATCAATCTGAAAAATTGTTCCAACCAATATTTACACTTACTAACCCTTTGATTGACAATAAACCATTTTAACTAATGACTATTTAATGACCATCAATGAGTCAGCAAGAGCCGTCTGTGACCTCAAATATAATTTTTACCCAAAAGTGCCAAATATTGTTGCCTGAAAAAAACCAACATTGAAATTTGTGGAATGTTGAATAAAAAGCAGCAAAAATTATCCTCCTCATCGTCAGCTTTATCACCAACATCACCATCTATTCATTGATTTTTCATGATAACATGAGCAAAAATATTTCAATTTGACAGCAACCTGGTGTGAGTTGTGAGGGTTAACTAACTAACTGGCTGGTTAGTTAGTTTTTGTTGATTAATATGCGTTCCACACTAATTGTGTTTACCGTGTTTAACCTGACAAACAACAGTCAGTCAAAAATGATTATTTTTTCTGATTCCATTCCATTTCAATGTGAGTTATCTGGTTATCAATACGGTAATCTTTTCACCTTCACCATTGATTATTCTTCTTCCTCATCTTATTTAAGATTAATTATCACCAACATAACTCAAATGGTTATTAATTTAGTTAGTTAGATTATCACCGCTTTTCACCACAAAATTCAATTTACTATTAATTCATAATTTAATCAAAGTCAACTTTTACCATTTTGTATTAACCGCCATTTCAGCTTCTTCCTTGTTCCTCCTACTTTACCCTTTTGCCTCCAAGGAAACTAATCTACATATGAATTTGCTGTTTATTTTGCTTTCTCGTTTCCTTTCAAGTCTCAAAGTTGACTTTCTTGATTCCTTAAATTCCTTTGCCATGAACAACTTTTATATTTTATTTTTTTATCAACAATAATCTTTACTCCTAAGAGGGTCAGGTTACTATTAAGGAGGACCACAACAACAATTAACAACCTCCCACTCCTTAAATATAAAACAACATAATTATCTCTGTATCTACAAGTTTTACCCTTAACTTGGTTAACCTTTACTTCATCTTTTTTTTCAACCCGTGTTTATTCAATAATTATTATTTCACTATTAATTTTGCTCCTGGTCATGATTGACTCATCGTTTTAATCATCATTTACCCTTTTATTTGATCGTCAAAAGGAGAAAGGATTGAAAAGTAAAGCAGAGGTCAGGCCTAAAAGATTTAATTTACTGATGATCTCTATTCTTGTATAAGTTACTTACTACATTTGTATATTTGAGCAAATCATTAAGTTAATGTACCAACATTTTCTGTTATCACCAGAAACCATATTTTAATGGAAATTAAATTTAAATGAGAAAAATTAGGAGTTGAGGATTGGTACGTAAATTTACTTCTGGATTGTTTCTTGTGCAGTTAAAATTGATGGCACATAATCAATGGAATCAATGAGCCTGGTTAGCTTGAAACTCTTATGATCATCAGATAATACATTTTGTATTATGCAATTTGAATTTTTTAAATCTTCTAACATGAATCACCATTTAATGAAATATCAATAAGATATATTTGGAAGTCGAAAAGCAGATGAAATGTAAAATATATAAATATCGGTATCGATAAATAATTTATAAATGATTAGAGTTTTAGACTTAATGGATTGAACCAAATATTGTCACGATGATGATATTGACATGATATCCAATTTTTTCACAATCTTTCAATAATTTCTGGCATGATAATACAAAAAGATGATGATAATCAGGATTGTTGCAAAATTGTAAAATGAAGACCAAATGAAATTGAACTGTAATCTGGGCAATTTAATGTATTAACATATTTTAAAGAATCACGAAGTCGACCCACTTTAATGACAAGTTAAATACAATTAGTACTAGTAGTTGGATTGATTTATCTATCACCAAAGAGCCCAGTAAATGAAGGAAGGATGAGAAGAAGAAGAGAAAAGGATAAACAAGATTCTGAGCCATCACCATCTTCATGTATTGATTAAAAGAATCAACATTAATCTTGGCAATCAAATGAACACGACTTGTGCCGTTGATCACGATAAACATAGTTTCTTAATGTTGCTCAGTTATATAAATAACAACGTGCCAAGAAGGTTAATCTCTAGTTGTACAAGCTAATCTTGGCACTTGACAAGGAAGATAGCAAGAGAAGCGAAGTGATTGCTGATGATGAGCTTTGCAATGATTCGATGGTTCGATATGCACCAACGAATTTTTGTTTGGATCAATTTTTTCAACCTTTAAACCCAAAAGTTAACCCAAGTGAATGCAGTTAACTTGAAATGAAGAAGAACCATGAGAATGAAGATGATGGGTGAAGATTGTAAATTTACAGTTGAACCAGTGAAAATGCAATCCAAACAAAATAACGTGAAACTCATTTAAATTGAATTCAAACCCTTCTCTTGGTATTTTCAATCAAATCTTTCAAATTTAACTCAAAGTTTAAAATTTTAACGTAACAACAATTAAAGGCGGAAGAGAATCAAATATCAAGGCAACAATTTAACCCAAAAAATGCGACAAAATAAACATATTTCACATTTTTTAATGAAATGAGATTCAAATATTGGTTTTTGTCGCCTTGAGATTTCATTTTGTTTACATTTGTTTCTATTCCATTGAAAGAATTTGTATTTCTGGTGAATTTGAAACATTTGGTTTAAAATTCCAAAGAAATTTCATTGTTGAAACCCAATTTGAATGAGGTGAACGACAGTTGCTGCAATTTCACCGGTTTAGATGTAAAACTGGGAAAAGAGCAAATGTTGTTTGATTAACTGTTAAGCCTGATGTAACCATATTAGTTGAAAGATATTAACACCACCTACATGATAAAAGCGTTCAATGATGAGGCCAATAAAGATGATGAAGAGTCTAATTTAGCTGAAGATGATGGCGATAATGAAAAGGGTACTTTAAGGAGGCAAAAAGTGATGAACAAGATTAACAAACTATGACCTTTTTGATGGTCAATGAAGATTGTTGGTGTAAATTAATGTCTATTGATAAAAAGTAAGAGAAACTGAAAAGATACAAAAATTTCATGATGATGATGATGATGATGGTTCTCATCTTATTTCATCCGCCACCGGGTTAGCCTTAATTACCGTTAAATCCGGTTATATTGATTCTCTTTCTTCTCCTTCATTTCTCTAATTTCATCACTTGTGAGTTTGAATGAAACCTGAAAACCATCATTTTTATCCCTTCCTTTACCTGTCCGAAATGATACCCTTGATCTCTTTACAACCGCATTCATCATTCCTGGTAATCTGATGTAAACTAACACGAGATTGGCACGATTTTTCCACTCTACTAATTCCCCTGATCTTACCCTGACCCGTGGTTTTTTTTCAATCAACTGCCGAATCTATCAGATTAACTGGCAAATTAAAAATCAAAATGAAAAAGAAAGATATTTAAAGATTTAAACGATAAGAAAGATGAATGAACATGATGATGGTTGCATTTTTGGGATGATTTCAATCAATTGAACTGATTGTAAAAATCAATGGATTCCAATTTAAATTGAAATCCATTTCTTGTTTTTTTTATTTCTTTTCAAAAGCTTCAACCTTTCTCATCATGTAATACATTTGTATTACATTTTATTATACAAACTTCACCAAGTATTATGTATCTTCAATCATAATAGTTTAACTAATCATCTATTCATGTCTTAACAATCTAACCTTTAGTTTAACAAATAACTCTTTTGTTGTTGGATTTAATATTAAACCTTTTCTGGCTTGTCATTGTTTAAGAAGGTTTATTTCAACTGTAAATCTTGAAATTTATTTCATCTGTTGTTAATATTTCTTGTTAACTAATTGCTCTATTTTCATTTATATTACAGGGTTTCCAAGGAACAGCAATTGCTAATGGACCTTATTCAAGTCAACCTTCTTCATATTATTCATCCTTTTTCTCGAACCCATTCTCATCTGGATCACCCAATTCTGGTGGATCAAACTATCCTGGTCCACAAAACCAAGGATCTTCTGGATTATCTGGTTTCTCATCAAACCTTTGGTCACCTTCCTTGAGCAGTTACACCAATGTTGTCGGTGGAATGGGTTCAGTTCCCTCTGCCGGTACAAATTATCCAACCTATTCACCACCCGCTTCTGGCCCTGGATCTGGTAATCCAGCCAACCTTGATTTCCACGCTGTCCTCGATCAATTTGTCCGATCAGCTGGCCTTTCACCAACCGGTGATCAAGATACTTCAGCATCAACCATCCAATCTAAAGGAGACTCACCAGTTTTCAGTTTCAAGAAGCTCTACTCGTTCCCATTCTATCTCTCAACTGATCAACAACAACCTACTGATCAAGGATTTAATTTACAAATTCCTTACATGAGGAAACACATTAGACGAGCTCTTCATGAAAGTCCATTCAAGAATCCTAAATTCTTTGTGTAAGTATACTTTTCATTAACATTTTTCCCTTACTTACTGTATAATGGGAACCGAAAATTGAAAGATGAGAATTAATGGCTCAATAACAATTTAGCTTCTGACATTTTTCCTACTTGTTCAGACCTTAAATTGTTAAAAGCAACCAATCAAGATGAATTACTAGATCACTATTTAAAATGCAAATAAATTGATTTGCTATTGAATTGATCACTAGTTTCTATTGCACCTTTTTTACCTTCAATCTAAATGGGAACAAATTTACACTTTGATCAGAAACAATCAATTTGAGTAGTTTTTTAGGCAGTAATTTGTTTTCTTGTCTTCAAACATCATGGATCAATCAAATTGAATTTGATTGAACATGAAAGCTTGACAGATATTTAATCCGATTCATTTCGTTGGTTGCTCGAGAGAAAGTTGATCAATTGATTGTTAACTCATAGTGAAAATAATAATAATTATAATCACAATCAGAATCTGTTTTTTCATTGTTTCATTATTATTAGGTGTCATTGATTGATATTAAGCATTGAAAAGTGAAATAATACCAATATAATTTAGCTTTACTTTGTCCTCAATCTTGAATTTGATTTACTCGATTCAACCAATTAATAATAGACAATCTAAATTTAAAACTGTAAAGTTTAATCGAGATTGAAAGAGATGATCAGAAAAGTTGAAATTTAATCATTCTTCATTGCCTTTTCATTATTCAAAAGGTACGATTCAACAAAGGTTAACCTTTCAATTATCCAATATTAATGAAATAATTTCTTTAATTTTCATTTACCAAGCTAACTGCAACACTTTTAATTTAATCAATAATGTTCAATCAGCCGAGTAAATCATTGATCCAAAATGATCATACGAATAGCTTCTAACTGTTTGAGTATTAATACGTTTTATTTGCTATTCAAGATTCTGTGATTAGTTATTGTTTGATCAACGTCAATCTGAAATCATTTGAAGTGTAAATAATTTACTCTTTCGCATTTTAAGTTTACCTTAATTTATGCTTGCCGGTCAGCTCAGCTGGTAAGGTATCGTTAATAGCTTGTTAATAGGGTGTGATAATGTTATTTCAATTGTTTTGTTTACTTGTTGGTTGAGACTAATTGTAACAATGTACTAATCATCTTTTTTTATTTGTTCATCTTTTTTTCTTCTGCTTATTACAGCGACAAACAATCAATTCAAAATTGGTTGCACCCAAAAAATTGGTATCACGGTCAACAAGCTCTTCAACAATCGGCTTCATCAATAATTCCAACAACAACCAACGTTCAATGGCCTAATGGACAAGAGAATAACCCAGTCCTTGGTGGTGGTCACCAGCGAGTCTATCGAGGTAAACCAATCGACCATAACCCAAGATTAGTTGGTCACCATCAACAAGGTATTCCCATGCAAGCATCAGCAGCACCTCCAACAATCAGATCACCCGTTGTCCCCAACTCAGGTGTTGTCCCATCAATGGCAACCTCAGGCTCACTTAAACCAGGTCACCATCAAGCCCAACAAGGCCAACCTAAAGCTCAAATTCATCCCCAGTCACCCATTTCTCAATCTTCATCCGTTTCATCATCATCGTCGTCTTCCTCTTCATCAACTATTGTATCATCAGCGCCATCAGTTTCTTCATCATCGGTAGCTCCAGTCAATGATCAAGCCCAATCACAACAACAACAACAGCAACAGCAGCAGCAACAACAGCAACAACAACAGGGATCAGCTTCATCTGGTCAATTAGCTGACACAAATATTCTTAGTTCCCAAGCTTTTATTACTCAATATTTACAAGACCATTTTGCTGCAGCTAATCAAAAACAGTTAAATGGTTTAAACATTAAAGATGACCAAGAAGCAAATGAATCTCAATATGCACCATCCTATTATTATGGCTCAGTTGCCAACAAAGGTCAACAACAACCTTCACAACAAGGGAAACAGCATCAGTCGCAATTAGTCTCTGGTCAAGAAAAAGGTCAATCAGCCTCAGGCATACCATCATCATCTTCTTCATCGTCCTCTTCAACATCACTTGTCTCTGGTGATCAATCCTCGCCCATTAGTTCGTACCAGGTATCTTATTCATCTGGAGGTTATGGGACTTCCTCTTAAAATAGGAAGATGAAGCGATATTTAAACAATTTTAATGAGAGACTGGATAAAGAAAACGTTGAAAAGTAATATTATGGGAACTGTCCAACGCTATTTTTATCATACCTCATCAAAATAATGATAACTATGTTAACATTCATCAATTTCATCTTCAATTTAATATATCAAAGATTACCTTCCACTAACCATTTTTTTAAACAACAAACAACAAATTCCTCATCACCTCATCATCAACAACATATTCATCAATCTTCTCATTTTCATCTCAAATATCATCGACATCAATCTACTCTCTCGCTCTCTCTCTCTCATCCTGAGCAAGTCAATGAAACCAATCTTCCTGTTATTTACCTTAAAACTTGCTTTCATCTCAATCGCCACATTAATTGCTGGCCAAAATTATTTTTTTCATTACCAATCTATTGACCTACAATGAATGGGAAAAGCAATTGGAGCTGCAAGAATGAGCATGGATACAGACCAGTTTCAGTTTACTTTGAATCTATCCTTTGGAGAGTGTTTATTGACCTTTATAACTACTAAAAAGCCCACCTATTAATGCTAATTAAACCAATTTAATATGATCAACGGAGATTAAGGAGCCACGCAACCGATTCGCATTTCTTTATATATTTATATTTTGATACTTTCCTTGGCTCATCTTAATTTTTTGTTTCGATCCTGTCTTCCGTCCATTATAATTTTAATTTTATACTAAGCTGACCAATTAATTCTTAATTATGTCCTGTTTTTTCAATAATTTAAGACAACGAAATCAACTGTTATGAAGTTTTGTAACAAAAGGGTTTTCTGTAATTCTCATTTAGTGTTACCGCCATGTATTACCTAAAAAGATTTGATAATTGCCAAGCCATTTTTGTCTTGATCAGACAGAATAGTGATTCCTATTGTTGGTATTGCTGTTGAACAGCTAAACAATAATGTTGATAATACACGAATTTTTGGATACAAAAATATTGGACGATTATCTTCCAGGAATCTGCAAATCTTAAAATTCAAACGGATTGGCTTATTTATCATAATATTATATTTATGCATTCTTTTAATTTTGTTTGAAAACAAAATTAATTGGAGAGGCAAGACTAAATGATAACACTGCAGATTGTTAAAATTTAATTTCATGGCTATTTTATAAATCAAATAATGTTATTTGTTCAATCAATTTACATTCTAATTGCTGCATTGTTCTGTTTGAATCATTTGTATTCAAAATTAAGTAAAATGAAAAAACAGACAATGTGGATACACTGTAGCGACTTTTTCTCGCCTATTTATCAAATAAAATATTTCTTTTAAATTATCCATTGTGTTCGCATTTTTCTTGTAAAATTTCATCAAACTTTGAATTTATTGATTTTAAATCCGTAACTAACGAGTTGTAAGCAAATTGTTTAAAGACTGAAAAATTGTAACATTTGCTTGATAGTTGACACTTGATTAAGACGCCGTCGATTCAACAAGATATGTAGATTTCATCATTAACTTTGCAATAAAGCTTAAGAATTTGTTTTCACCCAAAATAAAACAAAGAAACTTGAGAAAATTATCACAATTGAGATCAAATAATCGTTAGGATGTTTGTTGCTAACTGCACTTGTTTACGAAATTCAAAAAAGCTGTTTATTTCAAGTTGCAAGTGTATTACGTAGTAGTGACATCTAACGTTATTTAATTCAAACTACGTAAGCAGGTATCATATCTTATTTCCCTTTCCGGATTAATTCACTCATTCTTTGTTTGTGGGGTTTAAAAGTTAAATTTCACCTCTCTTCGCTTCAGCTTTCTGCCTTGTGTTCGTTTTTTACCTTGATTTATTTCGTACTCTTGTATTCAACTAACTTAACTGTCAATCATGGGTAAGGAAAAGACTCATATTAACATTGTCGTTATCGGTCACGTCGATTCTGGTAAATCAACGACAACCGGACATTTAATCTACAAATGTGGTGGTATCGATAAGCGTACCATTGAAAAATTCGAGAAGGAAGCCGCTGAGGTATGTCATTCTTTTGATATTTGATATTATGCTTTATTCAAGTTAGAATTTTAGTAATTAACTTGCTAAAGTCTAATATTGTATTTAGTTAACACATTTTGACCATGCAATATGGATATCTCATTGTTCCAATTTGCCTTGCCCTGTTACCATCCATTTCCTTTGTTATCTTCAATGACATGATTTATTTTAATTTTATTCTTATGTATTTGAATTATTTTTACTTATTAGATGGGAAAAGGTTCCTTCAAGTATGCCTGGGTATTAGATAAATTAAAGGCTGAAAGAGAAAGAGGTATCACTATTGATATTACTTTATGGAAATTCGAAACACCCAAATACTATGTTACCGTTATTGATGCTCCTGGTCACAGAGATTTCATCAAAAACATGATTACTGGTACTTCTCAAGCTGATTGTGCTGTTTTGATTTGTGCTGCTGGTGTTGGTGAATTCGAAGCTGGTATCTCTAAGAACGGTCAAACTCGAGAACATGCTTTGTTGGCATACACCTTGGGTGTAAAACAAATGATTGTAGGTGTTAACAAAATGGATTCAGCTGAGCCAAAATATTCTCAAGCTCGTTATGAAGAAATTACCAAGGAAGTTAGCAGTTACATTAAGAAGATTGGTTACAATCCAGCAACTGTACCATTTGTACCAATTTCTGGATGGCATGGTGACAACATGATTGAACCATCACCTAACATGCCTTGGTATAAGGGATGGTCAATTGAAAAGAAGGGAGCTAAATTGGAAGGTAAAACATTGTTACAAGCCTTAGATGCTATGGATCCTCCATCTCGACCAGTTGATAAGGCACTTCGACTTCCACTCCAAGATGTCTACAAAATCGGTGGTATTGGTACTGTACCCGTTGGTAGAGTTGAAACTGGTACAATTAAGCCAGGTATGATTGTTACATTTGCACCAGTTAACTTGACAACTGAAGTAAAATCAGTTGAAATGCACCACGAATCATTGACTGAAGCTGTACCCGGTGACAATGTTGGTTTCAACGTTAAAAACGTATCTGTTAAGGAATTGAGACGAGGTTATGTAGCTGGTGATAGCAAAAATAATCCACCTCAAGCTACTGAAGAGTTTGCTGCCCAGGTTATTGTATTGAACCATCCTGGTCAAATTTCAAATGGTTATACACCAGTTTTGGACTGTCACACCGCTCACATTGCTTGCAAATTCAAGGATATCAAGGAAAAAATTGATCGTCGTAGCGGTAAAAAATTAGAAGATAATCCAAAATCAATTAAATCCGGTGATGCTGCTATTGTTGATTTGGTTCCAAGTAAGCCAATGTGTGTTGAAACTTTCACCGACTTCCCTCCTCTTGGACGTTTCGCTGTCCGTGATATGCGACAAACTGTTGCTGTTGGTGTGATTAAATCTGTTAAACCTAAAGATTTGTCTGCTGGAAAAGTCACTAAAGCCGCTGAAAAGGCTGCCAAAAAGAAATAACATGTTAACTTTGCTTAATTTCTGAATCAATAAAAGATTTAAACATTTTCTCCTGAATTGTCCTTTTTATATTTTTGCTATTATCCTCACCATAGAATGTCATTAAAAGGACGGGCAAATGGTTACAAACTGGTCATTGTTACTCATCAATTTTTTTCCCAGGAAAACCAGTTTGTTGCCCTTTATTTAGCTCCTAGGTTATGTTAACCTTTAACCTTGAGTTGTTGACTAACAAAATTGTAACAAACCTTGTAACCTTTCAAAATCTCAATTATGCCCAACTTGTTTAAAAACATGTTTTTTGTATTTTCAGGCTTGTGAATGCAGCACCAGGCGACAGCACATCTTTTAGCATTTACGTCATTATCACTTGAATAAACTAGAAGAATCTAAGAATTACATCGACACAAAGATGATAAAAACCAATTGGATTTATCGTGAAAAGAAACATTACAGTGACATACCTTGTGCTTTAACAGGTAAACATTTCCTTAAATAACCACAAAAATTCAATAGAATAAGCTAAAGATCGTTTGATATTTCATTGAACAAAGGCTCCTGAAACAATGAAAACATTTCAACTCTCAAGCAAACAATTTTTGAAATACTAAATGTCAGAGATGTACATGTATGATAATATGGGTGATAATAAAAGTGTAAGGCAGCAGACATTCAACTTGTAGCATTAAATGGTGAAATAATCAAATAATGATCAATTTTAAACATCACTCACATATTGATAAATTCACGTTTTTAAATAATAGAAGGCGCAACAAAAAAGATGTTTAAATAACGATCAAATCAGTTGAAAAATCAATTAGACCTGATGATAACAGTGAAAGTTGTTTTAAAGTGATTTAAAAGTCATGCTAGCACAATTATCATCATACTTGATGCATTTGAATATTAACGTATCTTTGATTACCATCATGATTATCTTCTCATCATGAATGGTTCATAATCTTATACACTAAACCTGACACATAGTCAAGATAATTGTTGAACCTTTCCAATGGGCACAATTTAAAATCACGTTTCACGTCGTCTTTTACGACTGACTCTTAATCACTCGAGAATTACAGAGGTTCATTACAGAATATGTTATTCTGTTGATTCCAAAAAATAAAGTGATTAGTTGATGGCTCAGAAACTGAGGAAAGAATATTGTGAAATTATAAATCAAAGCAAAACAATATTTGTAAAAGCTTGTCTTATCTGTTCCATTTTGAATTAATTTTGCCGGAATAACTTGATTCATCAAGGACAGGATCATGCTTTTTCCAACAAAATGTATACTCAGGTTGTTGGGCTTTGGATTCTTGATGATACTCAATGATAATCGTTGGTTAATATACCTATGAGGGTAAACAAAGATAAACAGAGATCATTTTTTCATCGATGAACATTTTCAAAACGAAATATTTATACATCTTTCTAAAAGGCCGGACCATTAAGTGTTGACTATTAAAGGCAACACTGATTCAATCACCATTAAATAATAGTCAAATTTATGAAAAAGTTCAGCAATCAAAAAGATAACCGTGAATCCCCTGAAGCGTAGTTTCAATTTAATTAATGGGGAAATAATTTTTCCAACTTCCAATGGGCAGTGTATTTTGTTCACAGGCAAGATGGCAACCTTATAAAGGTTCAAGAAAATGATGATCTAAGAATACTTTATGAATTTATCTTGCTTCGAACACTTAGTTAATTCCTTTCACAGAATTGCTGAATCAAAAACTGTTACAGAATGAAGATTCTCTTAGCCTTATTTACAATCTCCTTTTGTTTCATTACATTGAATGGTAAAAAGTGATTTTCTTTGTTTAATTTTTTCAATATTTCGATCTTAACAATTCTTTTCGTTGATTTCAGCTGACAAAAAGAAGTCGCCGAAACCAACTAGTGAAGATATAACTGAAAAAAACGCAACCGCATGTGAAATAACTTTGAATCAAACGGCAACTCTCATTGAACCAGCTTTACTTGTTGGATATCAAGAATGGCCATCTACACTGGAAGAGATTGATAAACATTGCGAGTAAGTAGTTTAATATTTAATTTTGATTGTCAACAATTCTGACTGTAATTGTTTTTCAAGTCTTGGAGCAAAGGTCTATAAAAGCATTAGACGCTATGGTCGATGTACAACTGGATTATCTCGTCAATCACTGAACATCTTTTTGCGTGGACTGAAAAAATTCATGCAAAACATTTGTTCATCCAACAAGAGGAAACAAGGTAAAGTATTTAACAAGCTGCTTCTTTTGATTACCTCGTAGACCAATTAGTTAGCACAATCCAAGTTATCTAGTGTTGTTAGTTGATTACGAATCTACACTCAATATCTTTACTTGAGTTTTGCTTACCGTTACAGAAACTTTGGGTATTTGCCAGGCTTCTAATTGTACAATTAAGCAAATTATCAATCTAATTTATCTTTGTTTACTTATTTGCATCAAGACACGGCTGATATATTGAAATGTGCCTCCAATGGAACCAACGCAGGCTGGAGTAAATGCCTGAAAGAAACTAATTCACGACTTGATATTACCTCGACAAATGCCAGTGACCCGGCCATGGTTGGTAATATTTGCTGTGCTTATTCCTCGTTAGTTAATTGTATCAACACCAATACCGGTACAAAATCTGAATGTGATAAAAGCAAAGATACAACGTTTTTCCTCCAATCATCCATGGCACTGGTTATAAAAGATTTAACAGACTTGCTGTGTACCAATTATGAATCTAAGGAATCCTGTGAGATTCATGATTCACAAAGATCTGACATTTTACAATCAATTGCCGAAGGTAAACATGTTTTTAAAGGAGCTTTCTTAATGACACCTTTAATAAAAGCAGCAAGTCAACTGGGTAAAATCCATGCTGATGATATTTGATAGTTTTTGTATTTTTGCTTACCATTATTTCACCATTTTTTGTATCATTTTTATTCATTTTTGCTATTAAAAACATTTGAAATATCGCATAATTGTTTGATTTATTTTTGAGCAAAACTAAAAAGTTATAATCAATGAAATTATAAATTTGTACAAAAAAGCCATAAAATCCAAGTTATATTCAGAAAAATCTTATACCGAGGACTTTCAGCATTGGTAAAATAATCATTTTCATGTTTCTAAATTGTGAGTCAACCCGGTCCTTTCTCTTGATTTGGTATTAACAGTGGTGGACATTGCTCACAATAGCCAGGAGGACCTTGTTCACCAGCATATCCTTGTGGTCCTGGAGCACCAACCTGTCCAGGTGGACCTGGTTCTCCGGCTGGACCTGTAATTAGTCAGTCGAACAGTCAATAATGTTTCATAACCTAATTCTTAATAATCTTACCAGGAAGACCGACTCCTGGAGTACCTGGTGGACCAGGGTTACCCGGAGCTCCAATGGGTCCTTCAATGCCGATTCCCTATTTGAAAAGATGATAAAATTATGCAATGATTAAAAAGTTCGATAAAAAAAGGACAATTTTACTAACATCATTTCCTCGGTCACCTTTATCACCCTTTTCGCCTGAAAAAAAGATGTAAAAATAAATTGTAATAAAAATCGCAAATATCGATCGTTATCGATGCTCACAATCAATCAAAAATATCAATTATTCAAAGGATGTCATTTGAAACTAATTAAAAAATAATAAATAATCGTCTATCATCTTAATGTGTGAATAATTTAGTGATAAACTTATCAGTGTTAATAGACAATAAACTTACCAGTTGAACCTTTTGGCCCTGGTACTCCTGGTAAACCTGGATAACCTAATCAATATTGTTATAAAATGTTATTTGCTGGTCTCAGAGACAATCAATGTCTATCAAGCTAACCTCTTTCGCCTTGTAATCCTGGTGATCCTGGTGGACCTGGTGGACCTGAACGATCGCTAGGCTTTCCGATTCTACCCCTTCCAGGTCTACCTGGTGGACCTGGCGGTCCTTCTTGTCCAGGAGATCCTTGAGGTCCCGTTGGTCCTACTGGTCCTGGTAGTCCTGGTGGACCTGGCGGACCTGGCTCATGAGGTGTTCCATTAAAATTGCTAGCAAACTCTTCAAGAATAAGTGAAATTAATGTTATCAAAATCGTCCATTACAATATTATTACTGGATTAAAAGAAAAGGGACTTTGATTTTAATGATTGGAAGCATAATTGTATTTATTAAAGTATCGTTTTCTGTTAAATTTAAGATACTTTGACTAAATGATTATTTAATGTTTTATAAATGCTATTATAATTAGTAGCTCATTAAAATGTGATAAAAATGAATTAAATATTTTTTACCTTTAATCAATGACATACAAATTTGCCTAATTTCATTCTCAGTCAATTGAACATCTGATTTGTTTTCATTTCTCTCTGAAACTATGATTCCTGGTGGTCCAGGTGAGCCAACTGGACCAGGAGGTCCTGGAAGACCAGATTCACCTTTTTCACCCCTTTGTCCAGGTTCGCCTGGTGGACCAATAGGTCCTGTCTATATTGGTTAATTTAGTTGATGAGTTAGAGTCGAAATAAATTAGAAATGAAACAAACTTACTGATCCTTCTTGACCAGGTTCACCTGAAAGGACAAAGGACAATTAAAACAGAATGATCAATGTACATCAACCGATGTAATTTATTTATTAATTACCAGAATTTCCTGGTTCTCCTTTAGGACCTGATTTTCCTGGTTCTCCTGGTTCGCCTTGATCACCTACAAAGATGAAAAATTAATGCAGATATTAATACAGAGTTACAAATGATTGAACATTTTTATGAATAATTCAACTACGAATTCAGATGGCATCAGATTGATAATAAATTAATGTTTCGAAATGTTCTACAGATTCAACTTAAGCTCCAGGACCAAATAAATTATATAGATTAAATAATTCCATCATTTAATGCTTTTTTGCTTGATTTATTGATTGAATAGGGATTTTTTTCAGTTTAGCTTCAACACAATCAAGCTTTATTCAACTTCAAGAACTTCATTCACAACTTTTAGACTAGAAAGCTACCATTTCATGATTCCTTGAGTTTCAAAATGTTTATTAAGTTAATTTCTGTGAGCATATATTTATTCATTTAACTCACCTTTGTCACCTTTCGAACCTAATTCAGCCGGTAAACCAGGAGGACCAATATCACCTTTAGCCCCTGGTGGACCGACAGGTCCTTCAACACCAGGAGATCCAGTGTTGCCCTTGATTGATTAGTCAAAGTAAAAAGTTGCAATTAAAAGAGCATAAAATTAGACAATTGCAAACAAACAACGATTTTAGGCATCAATTTTGTAAATTGACATTCGAATCAAATTACAAAGTTTCTAAATACACATAAAGGATTGAATAGTTCAATGACTTACTTTTTCTCCCGTCATTCCTGGTTCACCTTTTATAAAACAAGAAAAAGTGCCGAAAAGCGTCAATTTAAACGGCAGTTAATCAGTAATTTTAATACATTTACAAAGATCAAGTTGGATAAAGCATATAAAACTATTTAATTGTTACGGTATTGAAATGTTTTTATTTGACATACCTTTGCTGCCAGATAAACCAGGAATTCCTGTAAAACCTTGTTCGCCCTGAAAAATGGTTAAATCTATTATAAAACCTCTCCGTGTTTCGATTAAGTAATAAAAGTCCAGAGTGTCTAGTATTCACCTTTTGTCCAGGTTTACCAGGCGACCCAGTCTCTCCTGTTTGTCCCTCTGGTCCATCCTTTCCTGGAGGTCCTTGCTCGCCCTGGCAATATTCAATTAGTATTTATTACGACTATCGAGTCAAGAAATGTTTAGACTTATTGGCTTTGTGGGGACATTTGTAGCGATTATAAGTGCAAAAAGATCTAAAAGACCTTACATCTAAAGACTTAAAATAAAACCTAATGAAGTGAAGTGTTAGTGAAGTTAAAACTAATCACCTCATAAACAATGCAGTTAAAAAGGTAAAGAGATCAATGGTTAGTTTGCTAATGATGAATAAATGCTGTTTATAACATAACAAAACATAAACTTATTAACGTTTTAAAGCTCTTTGGTTTTCATTTGCATTTTATTCAATGAAAGGATTATTCGCAAAATTTTGACACTTAAATCTTATAGCATTTGTACGCATATGAAATCTGATTAGATTAAAGTAAGTTTTAACTTTCTGTGACCAACAGTTCGCGATAAAATTGCGTTCGAAGTTGTAACTTTGAATGCGTTTTATGAAGCTATGCTTATAGATTTTTTCATCAGACTAACTCCGACTAATGTATCTTTTAATTGCGCATTAGAAAATGCACTTACTTTTGGGAATTAAATTAACTTTTTTTGTACAGACGCGTTAATTCGATTTTAGCTAAAAGTTCGATTTTGGAGCAATGATAATAGTTAAAGAACTAAAACTTATTTTCCATAAACAGAAATGAACAACGACTATCGAGAAGTATGAAAGTTTAGCGAATCGTTGATAGTTCTTTCAATTTCGACAGATGAATTTTAAACTTCGAACCTCGATATTTCAAGAACGGTAACACGTACAATGATCATTATTTGACAAAATACAACAGTTAGCAATGTGCTATAATATGGGTAAATATAAAATCATTCAAGATCCCATAAGAAAAATTGTGCCATTTTATAACTTCAGCTTCTACTTGAGTTGAAGATTTATGAAGTTGAATGGTTATCCATCTTTAACAGTCTTAAGATGGGCTGAAAGGATGTCTATTGTTACAAATATTGATACGAATTTATATGCGATTAGATTTATATATATCAAAGTATGTCTGGTCAAAGGATTGCGTTTGTAAGTATTACCGTTCTTGAAATATCGAGGTTCGAAGTTTAAAATTCATCCGTCGAAATTGAACGAACTATCAACACGTCGCTAAAAATTTTCACTGCCCGATAGTCGTCAATCATTTCTGTTTATGGAAAATAAGTTTTAGCTCTTTAACTATTACCATCGCTCCAGAATCGAACTTTTAGCTAAAACCGAATTAACGCGTCTGTACAAAAAAAGGTAATTTAATTCCCAAAAGTAAGTGCATTTTCTAATGCGCAATTAAAAGATACATTAGTCGGAGTTAGTCTGATGAAAAAATCTAAAAGCATAGCTTCAAAAAACGCATTCAAAGTTACAACTTCGAACGCAATTTTATCGCGAACTGTTGGTCACAGAAAGTTAAAACTTACTCTAATCTAATCGGATTTCATATGCGTACAAATGCTATAAGATTTAAGGGTCAAAATTTTGCGAATAATCCTTTTATTGAATAAAATGCAAATGGAAACCAAAGAGCTTTAAAACGTTAATAAGTTTATGTTATGTTATGTTATAAACAGCATTTATTCATCATTAGCAAACTAACCATTGATCTCTTTACCTTTTTAACTTTATTGTTTAACTTCATTAGTTTTTAGACTTTCGGTCCTTAGATTTAAGGTCTTGTAGATCTTTACAAATGTATTAAGTCACTCTTGGACATGAGAACAATCGAATAACTTGTTATTTCGCTGTTTTGTGAAATGTTTCTTACCGGTAATCCTCTCATTCCTGGTTGACCTGGAGGACAAGCTCTACACTCTTCTGGTATTGGTATGAATTTAGGTGGCTCAACGGCGTCCTTGCAATATTAAATTAAAATGCAATGTAAATAATATTGACTATGCAAGGTAGATCAACTTACTGGTAATTCATCGCAAGTTTCCTTCGAACCTAATAGTGTGTAAAACATTGTTTAGCTGTTAATCAATTTTGATGATGTGACATATCTAAAGTACAGGATATAACTTACTTTGAGTAACATCGCAGTTAAGAACCATCCATTGAAGATCAAGCTAATAACAAAAACCATAACAAAATCAATCGATAATCATAAACAAGTGACAAATTTTAAAGTTGAAGATCAATTAGGTCTTTCAATGCACTATTGAGTTAAATTTGCAACAACTAGTCCACATTGAGTTACTCAAAATTATGCTTTCACTTACAGGAACAGTTGTTGATTCATCGGCAAATTTAGCGACCATTAAGTTTCCTTGATAATCCAAACTGTTAATCGGTACAATACTTTGAAAACTGTGCTCTGCACAATTATGATGTAAAGTTGCCCGATCCTTAGTCAAACCAATAGCAATCTTATGCCAGAGTCCATCATTGCTTGTCACATTGGTAAAGCTAATCTTCTCGATACTTTGGTTGAATGAAGCTAAACTCAACTCAAGTTTACGGTGGATCGGAATAAATTTAACAGCCAACTGAGGTAACCCAGAACTATCAGAGATCTTTATTAACTCCCAAGCCTCTGTTTTCGATGGACGTTGTCGAAAGGAGCAAACAAATGAAAATTCATTTGGAATACCAAATGGGAATATTTTCCTACCAAAAAAAGACAATATAACGATGAATATTAAATGTTAAATGCTCTCAAATCCCAACTTGCATTTAATGAATGTTTTTCAATATTGCTAGTATTAATTTTCAATTTCGCTCTGTAATTAGAAATCAATTGCTTCTTTACAGCTAACAGTTTACGTATAACTTTCTATCAATGTAGTTCCAAAGTTATCTAACCCACCAGCAGTCCCTGAATTAAGGCCAATTGAAACTTTTTGGAGTCACCTCAAAACAAAAGTTTACGCTGACGGATTTGTTGCTCAGAATTCCGAGGAATTGATTAAAAGAATTAAAAGTCAGCTCAAAAAATTCAAAGCTGCCTATTTCAAAAGCCTCATGGCTAATCTCAAATTTAAAGTGAACGAGGCGGATCAACAAGGATTATCCTACATAAGAAGGAGCCTTTGACTTCTGGCTATCAATAGAGACTAACATTGAAATTATTGATCAATTATTTATTAAATTACAAAACAATAAACAATTTGTAACATAATTTTTCCTCACAGGTTACATGCGAAGATTATCTCAGAAAAGTTTATTCTCGGCTCAAGAACCAAACGCAACTTTAGCTTGATCAACGCAGTTAGTATTTTGTTTCAAATATACCCGAAATTCTTATGGAGCTTCATTTAAAATGCTGATTCGAACAATTTGGCATTGCTTAGTTTTCCATCGATCAATGCTTCCAGCTAAATTTATTAAAACTAGCTAAAACTATCGAAATAGAACTTGTATTAGGCAAAGGCGCTACTAACGTAAGTTGTATTCAACTTCCTTTCTAATCGACATGGGTCTTTTGTTTTCAGATAATTCATCCTATTGACCTTACAAGGGAAGTAAACGAAGTGACTAGAGCCAATTTGAATGAGAGTGATCACAATTGATCGAGAAGGGTTAGATATGAAAAACTGTGGAGGATTTTCCGTGTCAGCTCAATGGTCCTAAGATACTTGGGTTTAAGATTTGGTCATTTTGAATATGTTATTCTTGGTCCTGAAGTCTTTCATTCTAAATCATTATCAATTGTTCGTGCTTGCCAAGTACGCATTTGTTTCATGTTATTTGGCCAATGAAAATAATGACATCAGACTAACTGATTAAATATGAGAATAATAAATCTGAAATTGATTACTTTTAGTTGCCTAAAAGGATACATATCATGTGAAATTAGTTTTTAAACATCGTCAATTAAGGCAATTTGTTCACTCATCAATCATTTTTGGTAAAACAATTTGAATAATTTTTGCATAAACCAGCGATCCCTCCTCTATCTACTGTAGTATCAACTTGATTTAGGATATTTTACCTACAATTTATGATTTAAAGGAATGAATGACAAATGAAGAAAGATTTTGACTCATAGCAAAAACTTTCTCCGGGTTTTCCTAGTACTTCAACTAATAAACAATAAAGTGTCATACCTTGTTGGTAAAATTAGATCAGATCTACGTGATAATCGGTAGGCAATTTGATAATCACTTGAGCCACGGACTTTTTTCACTCCAGGAAACTCGAAATCTGGATTATCCAGACCAAACAGTCGGATGAAATCGTAAGCAGGTAAATCATCATCACCCTTTTCATTACCAATTAAACATGGTGAATTTGAGGTTATTGATATTACTGTGATTATCAGAAAATATAAATAATCATTGAATCAGTGGGTATTTGGAGGCACAATAACTATAAAACGAGATGCAAATAAACTCACCGAAATGGCTGAGTATCAATTGAAAGATGAACAAAACGCCAATCATAATATTAGGAATAAATCATCAATATTTTGTAGCAATTAGTCCAAAAAGATTATGAATATCTTTGCACAATTATAACTATATTTAACTTGAAATTTTGACAACAATTGAATGTGATCTGAGAGATTATCTATCACTGACTTTCAACTTTCTTATTCATCGTTCTTGGTAAGCATTTGTATTAATTTAGAGGTTGAACAACCTCATTGTCGTTCAATTAAATGTTAACCTTTCAAGGGGAATTCAATTAACTCAATTGAGTCTGTGTTTAAGCTTGGTGACAGCTATACGCTTGATACTCTAAATCATATTTTCCTGCTACAGATCATATTTAGCCATTATCATTGTGAATTCTGAGTGCATTTTTCTATATTTATTTCAGTTACGTCAATTTTGCAGTTATTTTATCCATTCCGAGCTAATTTTGCTACAATATTTCAAGTAATTTACTCATGATCCTGTTAAAGCTTAAGTACTTTATAAAATGGTCAATTAATTGTGTCTGTGTTTAAAAAGTTGCACATTTCAGTCTGTATAACAATAATAATTAGATTTACTCCAAATATATTGTTCATAAATTTGGATTTAATATTGCATTGATCAAATAAATCAAGCTGATCCGAAACCGCTGTCATAAAACTATTTTGCCGTTTGAAGCTTAGAAATGATTTAGCAAATTAAAAATGTGAGTGATTATAAAAGGATTTTAATATATTCATGGTTGGAGCTGGAAAAATCTATTGGATTGATACATAAATTAGATCAATTGCTGTCTCGTTTTGTGACATGAACAGCAGAATTTAATGATACAATGTAAATGGTCAAATTGGTCATAGTTTACATCATTATTCGATAAAATAAAGGAGGGAAAAGGAGGAAGGTAAAAAATTCGATTTCTTTTGGGCTCCACCTTTGTTATTTTTGTATTGCCATCAACTTTTGACGAATTGAACTAAAACAATTACAGAAGTAAAACTCTGAGCTAGATTAGGTTGGGAAAGAGATCGAGTATCTTGATCACAGTCTGTTTTATTATAGCAGTCCCATCCATATTCACCATTTCCAAAGACACCAGAGAACATGACGTTCGGGAAAATTGAATGTAAAAGGTCAGATTCAACATTAAGATCTCCCTGGTAATATGCAGCTCCACGGGCAGCACAAATGAATATAAAGCCAATTGTCCTGATGTTTGGGCTTTTAGCATCAACATCGAAATCCAAACAGTTTTTGAAATGTGTTAGTTCACAATGAGCTTCTGAAACAGTTTTGGTATCCAAAACAAAGCTTGCCGATTTGACATTCTTGCCTGCAAATGTCATAGTCAACATTTTAGTTGTTTGCCCTTGATACCAAATTTTGTCCACCAAAGCTCCTCCGATAGCTATAGGTTTCGTCTGTTTGTCTAAGAATGAATTAAAGCGCTTGCCCTCCTCAAAATTGATTGAAAAAATCAATAGGCCGCAGATTGGATAATTAGCATCGTCTACATCAGGTTCAGGACTTTCTTTGTTATCCCAATCAGTTATAGTTATTTTAAAGTCTCCCCATTGCTTTTTGACAAAACAACCGGCGATCGCGTTAACTTTGAACTGAAATTTTTCAAATTCAAGTGGTTTGGAGGTTAAAGATGATTTTCCTATGATACCAGCTCTAGAACAGATGTAAAGCTTGCGACAGCTTGGTGGGAAATAATTTTTCTGACTAAGTTTTCTTATCAGGTTTGTACTTGATACAAATAAAATTCCAAGTTCGGGAAAGCTTTGAAGTTGGTCAGAAAAGAAAGCATCCAATGATTGGAACATGGATTGTTCATTCTCAGACTTCAATATTTCCGGCGATTTTTTAATTAAATCAAGAAAGATTTTCTTCGCTTTCTTTTCTTTCTCGTTATCCTGGTTACCAGATGATTCAAATCCTTTAGGACAAATGACCGACAGGAATGTCTCATATGAAGTACGGTTTTTGACAATGTTTTTAACAATACCAGACCAGCGGTGGCAAACAGATTTACTTTGAGACAGTTGTTTGGCACTTAAATTATCCAGAATAGTTTGCACGAGAAGATCATTCAGAATAACCTGACTCAAAACATCTTCCCTGTTTGTAAACAGAACAAATGAAAGCAAGGTTTGATTAAATTATGCTTAATCAATGATATTTGATATTGAACAAGAATGAGAGACAAAATTTTACTCACCCAGCGACAGAATTTGAAGTCATGTTTAATCAAAAAGCGATTAAATAAAAGAGCAGATTTGATTTGTTGTGATACAATTGACTTAAATTCATTGCTACATTCACTCAATGACAAAAAATACTTCATTAAACATTGCTGAGACTCTCACAGTTCAATTTAAATAACCAATTAATCTATTGATTTCAGTACAGGTGATATAAAATTAAATTAGATTTATCAAAATATAAAGAAAGAAAACAGATGCAAAAAGTCAAAATATTGATTGTGGAGTGTTTTCTTTTGGTTGATTGGGTAACCATAGTCACTTGCTACTTTAAAGTCTTACACAGGGTTGCGGGAAAATTAAGCATCGCATCTCTAATCATTATTAATATCAACTAAACAATCTGTTAATTTTTGGAAGCAGTAATTTGAGAGCTAATTATTTCTTAAGCGTAATTTTTCGGGTTAGCCGGTAGATGAAAAAACAACCCAAATCTAGGAGTTTAGGTATTTGATTTGCATTTTCAAAATGATTGCGTTGACGCCTCCACCTTGATTACTGAATATGTGCAATGTATTTGTGACTTTATTGATCAGATTAACGTTTAACCGTTGATTTAAACCAAGACAGTTCATATTTAAATATAAAACTTGACATTGGTTGTTACATTTACATATACATTTACAAGAGCATTTTTAAATTATGAAACAATCAAATGAGAATCGATTTGGACAGAAGATCACAAGTTTATTGAATCAACAAGTGATACAAATAGTGTTTATTTTCATATTTAAGCAACCAATTAATAACCGAGACGAAGAAAATATGTAGAAATTGATTTAGAAACAAACTAACGACGATTTCATTGGTTTGAACAATAATAGATTGGTCTAGAATAAACGGAAACGGTGATTAACATAAACACATTTTGTTGCATGTTTTTAATAAAATGTAAAATGCAATTTTTTTATTATCGTGCGTTCAAGGGATTAAGAGGGGAAAGAGGATGAGAGATAAGAAGAGACAGAGAGAAAATGATAGAGAGACAAAGAGAGAGGTAAATAGATTGACAGAGAGGCAGCAAAGAACAGAGGAAGAGGAGGTGGTGAAGAAGGGAGGGAAAACGAGCAATATTTATCTAATAGTTATGCAATAACACATCTCAATTTTCGTGATGGCTTGGGCTTCTTTTCCGGATTCTTCCTATTGATTTGCCTCACAAGATCGTAGAATATCTGTGGATAAAAAAAAGAGTAAAAAAATGAGTACAGATGAAGTAAAAGGAAGGAAGAGCAAGAGAAGAGCAACAGCAGAAAAAAATGAGTTATAAAAATAGTCAATTTACCTCATTTACGTTTATCTTTGCTTTTGCTGAAGATTCGAGGAAAGCACAGTTGTTGAAGCTCCGAGCTAAGTTTGCCCCTTGATCCTTACCAACAACCCTTTCGTCTTCCAAATCACATTTGTTACCAACCAGAATCATAGGCACATCCTCGGCATCTTTAACTCTGAGGATTTGTTCCTTTAAATCAGCGAGATCATTAAAGGTAGATTGGGCTGTTATTGAATATACCAGAACAAACCCTTGACCGTTTTTCATGTATAGATCTCTCATTGCAGTAAATTGCTCTGTACCAGCAGTATCTAATATTTCAAGCATACATTGTTGACCATCAACTTCTACTTGTTTCCGGTAACTGTCCTCAATGGTGGGATCATATCTTTCAACAAAAATTCCTTGCACAAACTGCACAGTTAAAGCACTTTTGCCAACACCTCCGCTACCGAGGACAACAATCTTGTACTCTCTCATCTTTGGTGTTTAAATTCAATGTATGCAGCGGTTTTGCTGAATCTTTACGATCCTAAACTTATAAAATAAAACAATAAGGTCAATTTATTAAAACACTAATTAATAAAGATGTAAAATTTAGAAGACACCATTAAATCGGATTTATTTCAAAAAAGAAAGGCTGGTTTTTTATTCTTTCTCTTGCCTAGATAGATATGCCCAGTATTACCAACAGCCACTGAAAATATTTCAGGGTAGAGAAAATTGTTTGGTGACTCGACAGATAGCGCCAGTAGCGTTTTTAGCGCCATCTGAAGTATTTCGTTTAAATAGTATTTATTTATTTCACATTTTTATATTGAATGATTCATTAAACCTCTTAATTTAAGAATCTTAAATAAATATAAATACTATTAGTATTCATTCCATGCTTAACATGATGAATGTTTTTTTAAACAGTGAATCAATTTAAATTTGAGTCAACTTTAACCACCATTAAGTGAATGAACACTAGTAAATAAACTTCAATCAAATAACTCATGATTTCTTTTATTTGTTCTTGTTGGTGTTATCTTTTTATTATGACGATTAGTTGAATTATTTTGACAAGATGCTTGTTTTGACAGTAAACAGAACACACAGAAAAAAATTGTTTCTTGATCAATGTGATTATAATTTAATTGCCGGTTAGTTTTATCTTCTTTTGAGTTGCAAATTTCAATATTTTACTCGTGTTTTAGAGTTGCTCCATTTCAACCTAAAAATTTACAATTACGATTAAAATGGATCAAATCCTGATATGGAATTGGAAGCCTTTTGTATTTATCATATATTGATTACCAGTTTAATTAAGATATCTCTCTTGTCATGCATTCAGATAGCTTGACTGATGAAATTAAGTAAATCCAACAGAAATGAATTGGTCAATAAGATGAGACAGATTCCAAAAGAATCACATTATTGTTCATTAGCTAATCAATCAATGGTCAACATGATGAATGAACTAAATTAGTTCTCAAAAATTTTCTTGAAGTGTTCAAGATTAGGTCAACATTAAAAAACAGCTCATACTGTAAATAGTGTCATAGTAAACTCAAATAATTAACTAAAAGAGATGTGGATATGGAGATTTGTCAGTTTTTGTTCAAAACTGTTCAGATAATTGAAAGATTATTACTAGATTGGCCTACAAACACATCCAAACATAATCATGAAACATTGGATAAATTTGATTTGTTTCAAGAGGACAGATTTAAATCGAATGGTACGGAAAAAATTGAATATTAAATATCCAGGCTCAATATAAAATCATGTCGATGGTTTTCATTGATTGTATAATTTTTAGGATAGAGATTAGACAATCTGGACAAACTAAACAGTTGTTTCTCTGAAAACAGGAACTTCTTTATCACCACACATAACGCATACATATCGAGTACCAGTTTCATCCTTAATACCAGAAGCTTCATCTTTATCATCATTTAAATTGGTTTCTTTGCGATTGTTGTTTCCAGAGTAATCTTTTCCTGATTGGCTTTGAGTGTCGTCTTTTGTACCTAAAAATGTAAACAAAAATGAGATGTTAGTGCCAAAATTTGAAAATAAACTTGATTACTGAGTTGGTTACCAGAAAGGATTGAGCCTGAAACTGATTTAAGGTACATGCAATCAGTTGATGAGATTCAAGCGACCATTTGGTGCGTACAAAATAAAGTTGGTGCTGGTAAAGCGTCTTAACTCATATTTTGAAAGATTGATAATCATCTCATGAAAAAGCCGTTGTCTTGATGTGACAAAGGCCAAAAACTGTAACAATTTTTTCATTATCGTTTGTATCAATCAAAATATTTGCATAAAAACTGTGCTCAGATGAGAAATGTGGTTTAACAAGCCAAGATGCATTTAAAGGCACTAAAAGGATTCAACAAATTGGAGGATAAAAAAATAAAGAAAGAACAAAAACAACTTTAACAATAATTAAGTTAATTTAAAATTGTCCAAGACTGAGTCGGTATTCTGGATTGTTAAGTATAACGGTGATTATTTATCAATTTCAAATCAAGGCAGGGTAACAATAAGAAAAAACAGGCTTTGTTTAAACAGGCTTTAAAATAATGGAAATGATGATCTAGATGAGGAATAAAAAACGGTTGAGTGTGCAATGGTGACAAGATTGTCTCGAGAGTTGATTCAGTTGATTCACTTTCATTTCGCTTGCCTTTTCCAGTCTGCCTTCAATTTACAACAAGGAGCAAAATTTAGGACAAGATTCTCGTCGTTTGTTATTGATCACTTTTGAGTTACTCTTGGTATTTATTTTCTTGGAACTTAAGTTTGATTTGCTTTCGATACCATTTGCAGAGAAATCAGAATCTAAAGGTTGTTTGCTATTGGCAATGTCTGGGTTTAATTCATTCATATCTTCTTGGCCATCATTCAACTCTAAGCTTTCCTTAACATCACTTAATCGATGTTCAAGTGAATGATGTCCTTTTGACTTTTTTGGCCTATCCAAATAATTTGATTTCAACTCAGTTTCCATTGGATAATCCGATGTACCAAATTTACCCGTATTACTTTGATTGCTATTTTGAAGGTTAACATTATTTAGATTATTGAGATCTACAGGTAAATCAGAATACCATTCTTCTGATGAGCTTGAATGATGACTCGTTAATCTGCTTGATGAAGCTTTGGTTAAATTACAGGTTGACTCTCGAAACAAACGAAACAACTCTTGGGTTTTATGGTACCAATCTTGATTGTGATAAATTGGTTTGCAACTTGAGACAGCTGAAGCTGTTCTACGTGCTTTAGGGTGTGATTTGATAGGCCGACTGATTGAGGGAATGGAAAAGGTTCTCAGGCGTGGTTTAGATCTATCACTATTATTATTTTCATAATCACAATCATGCAAGGAATCATCTCGTTTTCGTTTGGGTAACAATGCAAAACCACTTCGCCATTTACCTGCACTGGAAACCAGTTTAAACCACAGAGAAATAGGCTGATGAAAAGGAAAAAAAGACAAAAATTAATATGAATCATCATAATATACATATAATGTAGTTGTAACCAAAGAAACTCACCTTGTGATCACCCATTGGAACATTTTTTCCAATCATTTCATATTTAACACAATTTTCCGATGAGTTGCACTGACTCTACAAGAATAAATTGATGAATTAATTTAATAATTGATTAGACAATTCAATTTAAAATACAAGTACATAATGCTTGATAGGATACCTTAATTAAATCCATGGCAGACTTGTTCATAAGGATTCTATCACACCAAGCAGGACATCGAGTTCTCATGTAAGATGAACTTGTTGTTTCTTCAGTGAACGGATAACTTGGAGGGAAACTAATTTTACATTCAAATAGTAGATCTTCAAATGATTTAACCTCTTTGTCCAGGTCTAGAAGCTATGAAAATGAAATTAAAAAGAGTAAATTAGAGTAATTAAGGGCCTTTGTGTACGAAATAGATAGTGACAAATTTAAACTGCAACTAACCCAATCATGATTTTTCTCATTGAGAAAAATTCCGTCATGATCAATAAGATCAAATACTTTTTTCTCGAGAGTTAATACCGTTTTATCGTCCGATTGAGGATCATTATAAAGTATCTTTTCTATGGCACCATCATTTTTATTTCTCATTTGTACTTCGGCGAAATTTTGAGTGATTCTCTGGAAGAGGAAAAAATTGTAATTAAATTCACTGAATTTCACTTTTAAGACCTTTTGATGTTTTACCTGGATAACAGCTTTAGTATCTAGTCTAAAATTGAAATCTCCAAAAATGAATAGAGGAACTTTTTCGTAGACATCATTCGCAAATCTATCCAAAACATATTGTAAAGCATTAAACCTTATTGTTGAGTAAGATGAAGGAAACTGTAAAGAAAAAAAGGAAATTATTAAAAACTAATTGTTTAAAGTGTAAAATTAATTATTTTTCCCAGTTAATTAGATCAAATAGGTGTAAGCATTCCTGTGAGTTCACTGCGTCTAAATCGGTGGAGTTACTTTTACTCTAAAACTATCGAATTACAGTGATTCTATTTGGTCTGAACCAGTTCGCTCAGTTTTTGGAGTCTATTCTATCAGCACCGAGGTGTTAAAAGTAAAATTTCTTGCTAATTGGAGATCATTGTCTTCCAGAAAACTGGCGCAGCCCAAGTAGAATGACTTTAAGTATTCTGGAATCATTTAATGAATTTAGTGAAATCAAATAGTGACCTGAAAAATCGTACACGAACATATACTAACGATATTGAGTTTATAAAAAACCAATCACTAATGTGTGGTGAAATGACTGATATGAGTAAAGTTGGCTTACTGCTTCAGGCCTAAATTTTACGAGTGATATAATGGAAGAGTTAGAATTCCGAATTCAGTTTTGAATGGTTAATTAAAAAGGGTAAGGAATCACTAATAATCGATCCTATCAAATGGAAAATAAACTTAATTTCATGAAAGGTGGCGTCAAAAAACCATGCCAGGTCTTATCAAAAGTTCCGTAAGTTTTCTCGTTCGACCACAATTGCGCTTTAAAGATAAAACTATTTTGGTGATATTTCGTGAACACAACATGATAACTGTTAGAACTTTTACCAAACTTTTATTAAGACCTAAAATAGTTCTTTGATGTTGCCTTTCATAAGTTTATTTACATTTATCGATAGAATCGATTATTCGTGGCCCATACCACTTTGTCGATCGATTGTAATTATAGTCTAACAAAATTTTCTCCATGCTATGGATTTTTCGCGAAAAAAATGAATAGAATTCCAAGGTGAAGATTCGATATTATAATACAAAAACTAACATTTATTTTTACTCAACCTAATATTCCCACTTATCTTAATTAAAAAGTCCGAAACGAAATCTTTGAGGAAAGCAAAAAAACAGTTGGTTTAGTCCGTAATTCAGTCAATTTTTCCTGCGAAGCCACCCGATTGGTAAGAATAAGGTTTTGAATCTTTACCACTTCGTTAGCAAAACATTGTTAGTACTACCGGGTTACAAATAATATGAAACTTTTTCAAAATGAATCACACGTCAGGTTCTGATTCTTTATTCTAATTAGATCTTTAAGAAGTCAATGGAAATATTAGGAAAATAAATTTTAAAGATCAATCTTATTTTTATTAAAATAACTTTTTCATAAGATTGTAAAAAGTCGACTTTTTATTGACTTATATTAATTTCAATAATAATAAATTAAGTGCTTGAGTCATGAATGATTAAATGATTTGACTAAAACTAGTGAAACCAGGTTGATTCCGTGATAAGTTCATACGCTAGTCAAGACATAATAACTGTGATTAATTTTGAAAATTTTTGAAATACCACAATTAATTTCATCACCATATGCACTCTAATTCCCATTAATTTTGAGCATTGTTATTGTAAAGTGCAAAAGCAAATTAAATGCTTAACAAATTGAACCTCGAGAAGAAAACGAATTAAGGAAAAGTACGTCAAATCTGTTGTCATCAGCAAATCAACTTGACAAATCAAGATTAATAGGTAAATTAAACTTGAAGAAGAGGAATTTATTTAGCAAAAAGAAATGAAAACAAGCAAGCAAACCAGTTGAGATGTTTGTGTAAACGCAATCGCGATTATTTAAAGGCAAAGTACAAAAAGATCAATATCAATAAGACGAGCTTTCGAGTTGAAACTTATTTGGATAAGAAGAAGAAATAGTTTTCTTAATTCATCAAAAATCATAGCAATCATTTGATGGACCAATCAAAGATAATTCAAGAGCAAACCTTCAATCAATTGTACCATTAAGTGGCTAGTTAGGAAATTACATGGAAAATTGATGACCATTAAGTTTTACAGTGAAAGACATTAAATGAGGTATAAATTAGTTTAAATTGTTTTCTTTGGATGCAATTAATTTGTGCGCTTGGAATAAATGAATTTTTAAATTAACCATAAGAGGAAGATGATGATATTATTAGTGGCAATTGAAATCATTAATTGCACATTATACAATAGTATAATATATTTAGTAAATTATCTGAGCAAGAAACAGTTATCATACGATCAAGACTAAGATGAAGATGAACAAGATTTATTGTTTGTTATGAGAATCATTGAATATTGTTGACATTGGTTATGATAAGTGGATACAAAACTAGATTAATTTACTTGAAACGATTAATTCTGAAAGTGTTGTCAAAAGATTTGTTTAACAGTTAATTGTTTGACAACTTGTGAGGCAAGTTCATTTGAATTATGATTCTGGTGTTAGAGAATCTGGGAAAATTGGAAAACAATTTATCATGTTAATAATAGAAAGTAGGAAAATGTTGATCAAGTTACAGAAAAAGGTTTAGGTAACAATGAAAGTTATTTTGAATTGCAATCAAATTATTTATAATAGCAATAGTTATTTTCAATTGTACTAATGTGGATAATTTAAGCATATCTTCAAATATTGAATATAATTTTCCTTAACAAATATATTTTTTCAAATTTCAGTAATCAATTGGGCGAAACAATGGTTAGTTTGAGTGAAAGATTGAAATGGTAAAATTGATTGAGTAAAGATTATAAACAATTATATAATCAATAATAATGATTGTTGTCAGAGACTGATCTAATTAATGCTGTCAGATATGAATTGTGAACATAGTTTTCAGATAAAAATGGTTGTAAGAGCAATTAAAATTGACATGAACAATGAAATTGTTGACAATTTTAATTTAAATTTTTCTTTTCTTCTTCCCTTTCCATGTAATGAAGTTGATCTCTGAATGTAAAGAAGAGCGTAAAAAAGCAACAAAATTTCAAGGATAAAAATTTGGAGGTTAAAATGAAGACACGCTAATGAATTTAATGCACAATCAAATCACGTCAACATGATTATAAGAATAATAAAATAGATGTAATCAAGATAGTCTTGGAAATAAAAAAAATAACAGACAGAAAATAAACAGACTTACCGATTCCATGGCAATGAAATTGGAAGCATCATGAAACAGATGAATATTGGTTAAATCGTAAATAGTATCGTTGCAAAACCATCGAGTTCTCATGAAACCCTTCCGTGACCATTTGCACTGTAAATATTAGAAGAAGTCGAAAATAAAATTCAATTGATATTTCATTGACTGAACCAAAATTGTACAATTTAACAAATTGAACAATGGGTAAATGATGGGTAAAGTGAACAAAATGATTGAGGCTAACCTCTGGAAAAAATTCTTGAGGGAATTTGGCTTTTTCTTTGAAGGAAACTGCTTCAATATTTCCGGAAAATATTTCTTTTCCAAGAACTGGATGAAAGTTTCGATCTGAATTGAAGAGATACAGAGAAAATCATTTGGCAAAAATGATAAACAATCAATAATTGTACTACACAGTTGGCAAACACAATACAAAAATGAATTGTTTGAACCATCAAACTAATTTGCGTCAAAATTCTCTTTCATGTTCGCCATTTTTTCGCAACGAAAAGGCCAGAAAACTGAGAGCAAAAACATTTTTTTTCTACGAATTTGTATTGTCACCTTGAAAATTCCAAATTTTGACGTTCTTTAAAGCTTCATGAATAAAGTAGAAACTTCCAAGAGCCTAGAAAGGAGAGATGAGAAAAGTAAAGACATTAAACATTGATATTGAATTTTGAATAATAGAAGTAAGAAGAATGCGAAAAAGGCGAAAAGGACGGACAAGATGGAGATCGAAAAGGAAGAAGCAAATGAATTTTTGATTTGTAAGGTTCTTTTTGTTAACATTCAATTTCTTAATGACTTCCCCTTAGCCAATAAATTGATCATTTTCACAATCAACTCTGTATTGAAGAAAATTGTAGGAAACTCTTTGGAGTAAATTTATCAATTATAACACAAAAGGTTTCCATAGTCAAGTTAACACATACACAAGACAAAAGTTCAGGGCTACGAAGAAACAGAAATGGCAGAAAGTAACAATAAAAAACGGTTTCCCTTTAAATTGAGATAAAATAAAAGTATAATGATGGCGATGAAAGATATATTGGCTTATGTAGCATTCAGTTGAATGAGTGAAACCTTAAGATAACTATGGCTTCGTTGTATTATGACAGTTCCTTAATATACTTTCACTCAGTTTTATGGTTATTTAATAGTGATCAAGGTAATCGTTAGTCTATTTGTTTTTCGCGTCATTCCTTAAAGATTTGTTTAAGCTCATTTGTTTCTTCCTTTTGTCCTTCCTCGATACTCAAAGTCCTTTTCGTCCATTTTTTCCCTTTGCTTTAGATTGAAATTCCAAATTCATTTACCGTGAAGTTCTTGGTGCAAGTAAAGTCTTCATCCAGAAAAACTCGAGCATTTGAATAGTTTTGCAAAGTCTCGCTCTCGACGAGGTAGCTAAAGGAATAACAAGAAAATAAAAATAAAAATTAGAATCAAATGAATATTTAAAGATGAGAGAAGATCAAGGTTTAGGTTAATTAAATCGCAGATCGGCTGTGCTGATAATTGTGCGATTAATGCACATTTTTATTGTATAATTTTGATCAACAGTTTGATGATAAAAAAGGTTACTTGAAAGAGTTATTAAACAGAAAGAATTGCTAATGATGATTCATAATTTAGTTTCAATAACAAAAGTGTACAACACAACTGATGCTATTTTTGAATTGATATCGCAGTTGTTACACGGGCGTAATTAAAAAGATGCGAACTGTAAAGCTTAACTAATGTAAGGATATCAAAGATATAAATCATAGCAATAAACACTCGGTAGATCCGCATTTGCAGCTTGTAAACTCAGTCGATAACCCAATTTGTTACTAGAGACAGTAATTTAAGATAAAATTGTACTGTTGAAAGCTTGCAATTAGCTATTTTCACATTTTAACCTCAAATTACTGTCGATTGTACAAAATTACGCTATCAGCTGTGTTTACAGGTAGCAAATTTAAATCGTGAGTGTATAAACATTAAGTAATGTGTCTAGCAATGAGTGTAGTGATTAGAATGAACATGGTATAATCAAGTTATAATAAAGCTGATTGAATTGTTATCATCAAAGGGTGAGTTAGATACGTTTTATGTGACGATTTTTTCCATTATTTTTACTGCAAGATTTTGCGATTCAATCAACGATTAAATAATTTGAGTAAAACCTGTTTGGCTATCATCAAACCTTTTCAACATGACCGAATCTGGAAAAGGATTTTAATTAACGCGGTAATTATGGCTACAAGCATAAACTTACTTGACAAATTGCTGTACATTTTTCATGGATATTTCATAAGTTTTTCCGCCAACCTCTTGACAGTGTAATGCTATAAACATTGGATTCTTTTGACTGATGGTCTACCAGTTGAGATGACGAGTTGATACGTTTAATTGGTGGAAAGAAAGGAGAGAAAAAATTGAAAAGGTAATGAGTCAACTTTGCAATAGATAATGTTCAATTAGAAAATACGAAGACACCGAATAATTACCTTGAAAAATTCATCGAGCCACAATTTAAGAAGACCTTCAGGCTGAACAGAATAATGTTTTTAAGTTGATTGGAAGTGATTGGGAAGAGGAGAAAAAGGAGAATAGAAGATAAGAAAACCAAACAAATTGGTTATTTTGTTTATGCAACAAAAAGAAAAACAAGTTTCAATATTGAAAGAAGAGGGAAACAAAGAAATAATGAGCAAAAATACAAAGATTCACACTAGATTGACTGGTAAACTCTAAATTGAATAAAGTAAATTATTTTTCTCTTAGATTCAGCTTTTTTTCCTTTCATCAATCAAATTAATTATTGAAGCAGGTAGATGACATTGATATTGATTGATCAAAGCAATCAAGTAGAAACAGAGAAGGGGAGCAAGAAGACGTAAAATAGGAATAAGAAAAAATAATGACTTACATCTTCAAATAGGGAACCAACGTTAGCAGTTATTAAAAGGAAGGTACATTCCGTGTTCGAAGAGCTAGTTGCAGACATTGACTCAATAGTTGACAAAACAATAAGTTAATGAGAAACTAAAATCACACAAGATGCAAACAAATAAAAAGTATCAAGTTAAAATAAAAAGACAACTTGCGAACAGTTATATCAACAATTAAGATCGAAGAGAAGCAAAAAGCTCAGAGAAATATTGTAGGACTACATTGCTAAGGAATAAAAGGATGGACTACTGGAGAGATTAAAAATCGCAATTCTCACAAATTATACCAAATACTTTAACCAAAATAATATTATACACAATTTATTGATTAGTCAAATCCCAGTCCGTCCATACACCAATCAGAAATGAAAATAAACTTTAATAAATATAAGAGAAGCATAATACAGCTTAGAGGCGCCACACCTAAACATAGTACATAAAAAGGATACGAGAGTTGTGGTGAGAAATGGAAGTAAACTGAGGAGGGAAATATGAATACACAAGACACCAGTAAAACTGTCAATACATCGTTATTCAAAGATGAATATCTTCTGATTCATTTCAAAAATTACAGTAATTTTTGCTTAAATATTATTTTCAATAATTTTACATTTTACATGGAGATTTATTTGAGTTTATTTTAAATTAAACATGAACTGATAACAATTTAAGATCAATTTAAATAGCGTACCTTACTGAAATCGATAGAGTGATTTTGTAAGGCTGTTTTAGATTTGATTAAGTTTCACATTCAATTGGACTCAATTTGTTTTTCATATGAGACTTTTCAAATAAAATCTGCGATTGATGCTAAAAACATAAATTTTTCTATCAGACAAGTTAGAAATACCATAATTTGTTTACAATTATTGGTTTGGTTAAAGAGAGATACCAGGTAATGACAGTATCCAGAAATAGCTTATTTGTACTATTCGCCGGACAATGTATTAACGAAATACAGATTTGACTTCACTCCTCTTTAATTAGGGACGATTGACAAATTTACTGTCATAATGACAGTGTCATTATCTGATATTTCACAGTTTCTGTATAAAAATATGTAGGATTACAGCAATTTTGAACGGAGTTTAGATGTAGCAATCATTTATACAACAATGTGTTTAATTGTGTTAAAAGGAAAAAAGTGCCTTTATTTGGTGTATAATTTTATTTATAAAATTTTGTTTTTCCTCGCAAATTAACCAGCCATCTGATTGAAAGGTTTCCCTACATCATTGTTCGTAACATAATAGTCATGATAATACATAAGAATGCATAAAGGTTGACCAAGGATTAACGAAACCCAAACTGCAACATTTGCCCATTGAGGATATTTACTGAGATACTTGCTAACAAATGAAGCAAATGGTAACTGGGACAACATTCCGCAGAAAGCCCACATACGGAACATTTTCAGGGGAATTGAAACGAGATATTCGTGGAAAAACGCAGATACAAAAAACACAGTAGTCGATGCTTGACATTTGGTTAGTCCACGAGCAAGAAGAGGCTTGTATAAATGTCTTAGACACCATTTGTGAACGGGAATATTCCAATTTTGCCAGAAGTAATGAACTGAATCAGAGTTCCTGTTAGATTGAGTAGGAAGGAAAAGATGAAAATAAAATTTTAGAAGGAAATGGTACTGATAATGTGGTTTATGGGGAATGCACATTCATGAAAAATTAAATGTAAATCTGAACAATTAAAGGGTCAAATACATACCACCAGTCTTTGTAAAATTCCCGATCAGCAAATCTCAACAATTCTCCAATAAAATTTAGACAGGAATGAAAATACCAATAAAAGAATAATAGCCATATTAAAAGATTTGGAACCTAAATAGAAAATATTTCAAGCATAATTAAAATTGATGAACAGAAGAGTTGTGATATGAATTAAGCGTTGTTTTATCGAAATTTTGTGGTAGAGATCTTAGCAATGATCAATATTTTCGTACTTTAGAAGTTATTAACGATAATTCTTAGCTCGATTTGAAACTTACAGCTAACTTTAAAAGTCTTTCAAACATTTTAATGTAATTCATTTCCATTAGAGGCTTGAAAGAGTTGTGAATTGTTGGGACCATCCATTGCTGACATAATCCGAGAATTAGTTGTAAGAGTAAGAACTGAAATTGAAAGCAGAAGAAAACATTTATGTTAATACTTTTATCATTAATGTTCAAGGCTACCAAATATCTAATGAAAAATGGATGCATTTAATTACCATTTCAAATCCTCGACGGAGAAGAAACCTTTTGCGAATTCGTGCAGACCTTGGAAAATTGAGCTCATAACAAAGGGTTGGGGCAAACATGAAATAATAAATATCTCGGTAAGTTAAATTATCTGGATAAGAGATTCTAGGAGTAAAAACCTCTCCATCAGAAGATGTTGAAGAAGTATCTCCGTTGATTAACTTTTCATTAGCTGGGTCATTATGACTGGATGAACGAAACTGTCTCGAATTACCATGACTTCCGCTTCGAGAGAGTAGATTTTTATGAGGCTCACAACGACACCAATAACAGACCATATGATAAGAGATCAATTTCAACCATACAATAGCAACTAGTCCTAAAGCAAAGGAGCTACCAACTGGATGACAGTCAGCATTGAAAACAATACAAGGTGGAAGGACTAGAAGAGTCATCAAATTTCCACAGATTAGAATACAACCGGAGACTTCATTAAGCAACTGCGTTGAGAGTAAGAATTTTTCAATCCAACAGGCAACAAGGATGAAAACATTTAGCCCAATAATTATTTGTATAGACGGTAATATAGTTGGATTAGCTAAAAAAGCCATCCATTGAAAGGGATCAACAAGTATTCCATACTTAAGTATATTTTCAAGTGCTACTCTAGAGTTCGAAAGAACCTGGAAAAAAATATGAATCGATTAGAATCTTGAATTGATTAGAGCAGGTAGAATGGTTTGTCAAAAATAATAGGCATTTTTAATAACTTACCAAAAGAATTATGCATAAATTAAGTAATCCTCTATAATTTGTATAATTGGACGTAGAGCTTAATAGAGAGTCCTTTGGTTCATGACACCTGACACAAAATAATACAAATAATTAAATTAAACAATCAGTACAATGAAAACTGTTACAGATGATTTTACATTGGATCAGGTGTTGAGTTAAACCGCTGAAAAGATAAATCTACATAGGCCTGGTTTTACATAAAACATAAATTTCAAGTAAATGCTTGTTATAGATTTACCTTTGACGGGATAAATTAGATTGGTGTTAATTAGTTAATCTAAATTATAACTCACCTTATAACTTCAGTTGATCTGTCCATTGGTGGTTCATTACTTTTAATTGTTCCGTTGGTGTTATCATCTACTGAAGCACCTTTTGAACCTTTCTTCTTATTATACCCAATCTGTTGTACATTTTGATTGGCAACTTTTGTATTCACTTTTATTGAGGTCATCTTTTGAAGGAAAACGGATGGCCAAAAGTTATCAATCAAGAAATGTAGATATTATGAGAGTTTGCACTAAATTAAAATGAAGCTTAAATTAAATGATTGGGCATTAGTAACAATGGAAAAATAAGTTGAGATTATTACTGAAGGAATAAAAAATAAAAGTTGTTGTTGATGTTAATACAAAAACAAATGGCAAGATAAAGTTTAAGCAAAGAGGTAAGATATGAGATACAGTCACCATTGAGATAATTGTAATAATAATCACCACATTGGAAATGGCTTATTTTCACTATCTCATTTTTATTTACAATTAACATATCTAAAAATGTAAACAAAACTCCACTCAGGGGTCGTTTAAAAAATGTGTGTATTCCAATGGAGACTGTACTGCAATCTACATTCTGTATTTGTTAGGGTTGGATCGACCACTTCATTCAGAAAGGCAAAGTTTATAGACATATTGGATAATTGGGTTTTCCTTGTTAGATTTTTGGGTTTAAAGTTGAGCCATTTATGTTTTGATAAAAATTGATGCGTAATTTCATCCACCTTCAGTGGTGCAGCAGTTAAGTGACATGAAACGCTTATGTAGTTTGGTTCGAATCAAGTTTGGGAAAATTTTTATGATTTTTTTATTAATTTTGATTTTTAACTGTTTTAGCCGATTTCAGGGGCAATCCAAATCAATTATTTTTTTTTCTTTTTCCGATAACAAAACTCACTGAAACCAGAATTGAATTGAATTAATCAAATAAACGATAACTAACTCTCTGATTTTTTCTCCCAATCAACCTGAGTGAATAACACACAACATTGTCAAAACCTGGACATCAACTAGACCATCTTTCAAAACAGGAAAATCATTCCAATTCAGAATCAATTGAACTCCAACGCAACTAAATTTTTGATTTGGATTTTTCACCAACCTGATATAATACCAAACTCATGAAAGCCATCTCATCACTTTATTTATACATTTACTCTCCCTAATAATTTAATTTTTGTCCAAATTGTTTTTCATTTTTCAATTTAATTCAATTCAATTAAGTCTAAACAATTGTAATTCAAACAAATAAAATTATATTACAGTCATCCCTCGAGTTTTTGTTTTGTTTGGAGTGCTATTGTTTATACTAACTTCAATTGAAAGGAATTGAAAAATGCATTGTAAACTATCAGAATTCAATTATTAGGGAGAGTAAATGTATAAATAAAGTGGTGAGTCGCCAAAAACGAAGGCGGAATTATTTGCGC